CTGTTTATGAATTTAGCTTGCGCCACATGAACCGTGAGTAGCTTGTTGATTCATCTTAAGAGTTATCTCGCTCTACTCGACTGGGGAACTTTAAATTTCTTAGAAACATAACAAGGCTAGTTAGCTTGGTAAACTGATAATTCGTGAGACTGAGCGTTTCGGGTTTATAACTGGGTCGACTAGTTTATAGAAAAATATCACTGTCTTACACCTCCTAATCCAAAATGAACTTCATCCTCATCTTCGATCATCGCGCCATGAGGTATCGAAGTTTGTGAACACTAGTATTATATCAACATCTCTTTCAAACCTTGGCGGCAGAGAGAAAGTTAAAACATCAAAACCTCCCCTCTTCTGGGCTTATAGTTTTGGTTAGGTGCAAGAACATTATTGATCCAAGTCTAAATGTGCTGCACAACAAGCGAAACTGCCGGCGTTTTGCACCCTTGTTTACGCCCTCGAGCGAATCTTCAAGTTTGCTCTAATTTTCATCAATATCCTGATAAAGATACATCACCTTACCTTAATTTGTCGATCAAAACTTTTGAGGGGTTGCCGATTCATATGTTACGTGCTCTATTACAAAATGCAGCGATCTTCTGCCTTTTTGTGGTTCCCGAGCCTTTTAGGTTCAGTAGACTCTTTTATCATGATCGTTGAACCTTGTCGTTATTGTGTAAATATGCTAATGAACGAAATTCCATGATACGCTTAAGAGGATGTGAGACAAGGCTCGCAAACTTAACTGCTCTTAGACTTGAAATCAACACATGCTGATAAAGGAACATACAATAATTATTACTACGAGCCCGTAAGGTCTAGTCATGTGTGTAAATCATCGATGGGTATAGAACATTCCACGATGTCTTTGCTGTTTCGTCATTTATGCATGCGGTGAATCGATGCTTTTTATTCTATCATTTTTTAAGTCCTTTGGCATACCGATGTCCACTTCTTCAGGTGTCCCGATCAGTATAGAGTAAAATATAGAGATCTAAAGAAAGTCAGGAAAGGAGGCCTGAAGCCATTTGGTTACGTAATTCTAACAACATTAGGATTTGGTTCTCACATGAAAGCGTTATGTAGTTTTTTTTTTTTTCTCAAAATCTATGCACATTGGCATGCGGAAGACTGCCCATAAGCTGCCCAATGTTGTCTCTCAGACATTAATTTTTTTTTAAGAATTTTATTTTATGTTTAACTAGTTGCATCCATGTCATTCCAAATTTGCCGAGGTCAATGGCAAAAAGTTGCCAAACAAAGGTGAGAGCAACGGAGCGTGTGGGGCTTTGTGAGAGGGAGACGTAATCACAGTGAGCTCCATTTCTTCCCTTAGCCAATTCCATCCAGAGAAAAGATATTTATCTTCTCGAACCCTAAGGTCTGAAGGGAAGTCTTTGTCTTGTACAACATCGTAGTTCAAAATAGCTTCCTTACTAATCTCTGAAGCAAGAATCTTATTTGGAATAGCCAATAATTGAAAATATAGTAAACATAAATCTCACAAATCAACGTGGACTGATTCATCACAACTTTATTTATCATATTGTTCATGGTTATATTACTACTGGCTCTCTTCTCGGGTTTTGTGTTTTCTTATTTTTTTCGAGCTAGTTAAACTTCTTAGTAAAACCAGTTAGACGAAAACCGGTGTCCCAGCGGATTTGGACCCCCCTAAATTTGGACCCCCCTAAATTTGGACCCCCCTAGATTTGGACCCCCAACAAAACTGAGTGAAAACATCATCCTTAACGTTCTAGTAAAAATGGAAGATACTTTATGTTCCAGTGCGTACTAAAGTATGTTTTTAATTCAAAACATATGTATCGTTAATGCTACGAACTGGCATCCCATCGGACGATCAATAGTTCGAATGCAGTAGTTTTTTGACATCTAATTCTTGCGTATACTGTACGACTCGCTGTAATAAATGCGGTAGAATTGGAACGAAATGGCTGGGGTTTTTTTTACCTTTATCGAGGAATGTTGTGTTGTGATTGAAAAGAACATCGACAAAAAGCTTTCAAATAGAATTAGTTACCAAATATGATACAAAAGATGCTTAAAAGGAAAGTTTGGTAGGGGGGGTCCATATCCGTAAGCGGATTTGGACCGGGGGTCCGAATCCGCTGGGACACCGGCATTCCTCTTGAGTTGGTTTCTACTCCTCATATATTACTTTCAGATAAGACAGCACATTGAATGCAAATACATCGTATCACAATGCTTGGCATGGGGTTGTCAGTTAGCCGTGGGTAAAATAAGATCTAAAGACAATTCTCTCACTCGGCGAAAATTTCTCTGGTTTCGCTTTACGCAAACTGAACATAATCTTCGTGTTATCAATAAGTTTTATTTCATTTAACGGTTCACGTTCCATAATTGAGAGGCTTCAAATAACTTCTGAGTCCCTTTCCCTTTTCGCAATATGCTACTATATTTTAGCTTTCATTTGATACAAGTTTCATACGACAGGCTACACTTAAGGAAAAATTAAAGTGACTTTTGTGGTGGCGAGTTTGTTGTGGTGGCGAATTGACCGGATACCATTTAATCATATACAGCAGGCACTGACACTTTGAACACGAGTGATCAAGAAACGCGTGGTACTCTAAGGAACTCTGCCACCTTTTTTTGGTATTCAAATTTAAAACTACAGCCGCCGTCCTTTTACTTGATACTGGAGTCGAGATGACTTGGAACGTTAGTCCGCTAATATTCATCCTTAAGTGTAAAACTGAATAATTTAGTTTTATAAACTAAGTTGATAATGTGAATTGGTCACGTAGAAGAGATTCTAGAGCTAAAGTTTCGAGCGTTAACGCTCTAACGAAAGGCTAAACCTCGAATAGTTAGCGTTAAAATCTCTCAACGGTGGCCAATTCCCACCATCAACTCAGTTGATGAAACCAAATCATTATCTTGTAACACTCCCCACCGAGGCGGTACCTTGATGTCTTTCTAAAAATCAAATAGCCACCAACAAGCCCGAGTGTAACGGAATATGTCGGGATCTATGCTCGGATAGCTGTAACCACGATTAACTTCAACACTACCCTCAGCCAATCAAATCCAGAGAAAAAAAGGAAATGTCTGCCCAAACCCTTAGATCTAAAGGGAGGATTTGTCAACAATGTGGCCCCAAATAGCTTGTTTCACCATCATTGAAGCCAGAATCTATTTTGCATAACCAATAATAAAATCATTGGTGTATAAATTTGTATCTCTCACATCAACATGAAGTGAATCACAACCTAGTTTATCACATTGTTCATAGTTATATTACTACTAACACTCCGCTAGGGCTTTGCATTATCTAAGTTCTTTTGAGTTAGTTAAACTTTCTAGGAAAACCAGTCAGATAAAACCCGCATTACTCTTGAGTTGGTTTCCACTCTCCATGCATTGTTCGCAAAGGAGAATGCGTATAATGTAAATACACAATTTACCGCAATGCCCGTGTAGGCGCAAGAATGTATCATTTTTTTCGCTGGTTTTTCATAGTTTCGTGTTAGGCGTTTAGTTTCTCGTCTTCATTAGTGTCCTTTGTCAGTTACCAGTTTTGTACTTGTTATATTTATTTGCATATCGTATATATTCTGTTCGCGCGTAATTTATTTCGTTAGTTGTTTAGCCGAGTTTGCGGAACATATCGAAACATATAGTGCTTTGTGTTTCCCTTAGTTCACATCCGGTGCTGCTGAACCAGTCACTCAAGTCCCACACTCAAGCTCTTTGCGATTGTGACATAGCATGCGGTAAGATTACATTCCAAAAGAGGCGTTAAACTCGACCTTTTTGTTCTATTCATTTTCACAATCACCAGTAAAATTAACCAGAGCGAAATAGACGATGAAAAATTGTTCTATCCTTATTGAACGATTCTGAGATCTACATTAAATTTCACATCATCATTAGGAGTTTCCTTGACCATCTGTGTGGGCTCATTAACTCTGATCGAGTAATGACCGCCCTTCATCTATAACTTTTCAAAAAGAAATGTTCCCATCCTAACCCTTATTAGGTATGCAATAGCACCATAGAAGAATTAAGACTAAAGTTTGATGATAAATAACTGAGCAAAGTGTTTTGTAGATGTTTTAAAATTCTTAAATTTCCCCCTTGTGATTTCTCTGTTTGGAAAAATTTCCGCACAGCCCCGTACTTCATTATGCATGCACATCTTAATGGTGATACACTGAACAATAAAACCCCTCTATAATGATGCACAATGAAGTATGGGGCTGTGCGGAAATTTAGCCAACATTTTTTATAAACTGGGGTTGTTTGATAAGAGTTCTGTATCCTAAATGAATCAATGGAAGTTATTGTTCGTAACTTATCGGCAAACCCGCTGTGATATGCCTCAAGGGAAGTTTTGATTCGGCTTCGCAATAAAAATTCAGGATGGTCGAAAATAATGAGCTTTCCCTCGTCAAAGTACGTACCTGTTTTGCAGTCCAGTTTTAGACGTCTTGGCCTTGTTTTATTCTATTCTTATTGCAAAACTGATAAGTAACAAAGGGTCTGGTAGAAGATATTCCAGGATGTAAAAGATATTACTTTGTTATTTGTTTACCTGTTGATTTAGCGAGCTCTTTTGTATTTGTTGTGACTTTAAACTTCTCTGACATACGAGGGCTGCAAAAAAATTTCAAAAGCTCAACCAACTACCTCGCTGTTCCACTGACAGAAAAGAAGTTAGCTATAATGTTTGCTGTAGCTTACATCGATCTCTTAACAAATCGAAAAAAGAACAATTATATTACAGTGGAAGTTCCAAACAGCAGCAGCACTGGATACAGACTAGTACAACTAGTTTCCAGAAACTAGTCAGAATAGTTAAGACATTTTAAAAAACCTAAGAAAACCATGCTAGAAGATGCTAATTCGTCCCAGGTGTTTAGTTATAATACAGAATTTGTTAATTCCAACTGCACTGCATTTTTTGCCGGCCTCCTGCGCACCAGTGCCTCGAGTTTCACTGAGCCCAGTCCTCACCCATCCCCCTCCCCCTGCCTACCCAGTTTGACTTGTGGCAAAGAATATGGACTGCTAAGAGAGAAAAGGTAGCAGACATCCCCGAAAAGATTGCCAGTACTTTGAAAAGTGTTGATCCAGCTTCTTTTCCAAACATCTTCACCATCCTACAGATTCTTGCAACAATCCCTATTACATCTTGTTCCTGTGAGAGGTCAATATCTTGCCTTCGTTATCTGAAGAATTATCTAAGAGGCACAATGGGAGAAGAGAGATTGAATGGCTTGGCAATTGTGCATGCTCATAGGGACATTGCCTTGGATTTGGATGAAATCATTAACTTATTAGCTTCTCTTCATCCCAGATGAATGAGGATGGCCAGCATTTTATGTAGTGATGACTAAGAACTTCTACTTTGCCCTGCAACTTTTCTTTATTTTGAGCTTAAAACTAACTCTGGTACAAAACATTTTCTTTTGCCTTGGGCTTGTAGGTCAGGAACCTCCTCGTGGTGGAGCCTGGAAACATTTATATGGCTAATACCCGACTGGACAATGTGAGATCATTGAAATATTTAATTTCCTTGTTTGCTTGGTGCTTGTTGAGTAGTAATGCCTATGATGTGTTGAACATTATTTTTATAAAATGTTTTTTAGTAAGTGTTTGCCAAGAAAAATTGTTAAATTTAGTGGATTGAAAGCAAATTTTCATACTTGTTTTGATATATTTCCAAATATGCACCAGATTGCTTTACAGAGCATCCAGTCCCCTAGCAAGCTCAGGGCTACGCCCTTCGATTTTAAGTCTCATGGAATACATGGACAAATTTTTTCTTTTGGTAGAAACTGGTCACACAAATCGCTGGATCCACCCCTGACCAGTTCACTAGCACTTAAAGTCTTTCTTTTGTTTTCCTTCTACGTTGTTACAATTTTCATCGTTTGTATGAAATGTGTTAGCGCAAAAGTGTTGCGGAATTTATTCGAATTATTTAAAGTTTAACTCGATCGTTTGTAATGTTTTTTTTTCGCTCGTTAAGGCTGTAGTTTGTAATCACAGTTGAAGTTATATCCAGTGCAGTTAAAGTAACCCAGCAACAAATGCGTAAAGTTCATTCTTTTTTCCCAAGCTGTACTTTAAAAGTTTCTGTCTGTAACTTTCTGTTTTAGTTTAACCCCTTTGAATAATTAACCGTTTCAGGGAGTCGCTGCCATGGCAGAACAACCAAAAAAGCGCGCACAAATTTTACTTGCTGGAGGTTCCTCTGCAGAAGATTACACATAACGACAGAAAAATCACAGATAAGCTGCACCAACCTGAAAACGTTCCTTATCCCTTCCTCTGAAGTCACTTGGACAAACCATGTCGGTTTATGCAGAACAATGCGGATAAGTTGATTTTCAAATCTATCACTGACACAAACGTAGTGACGGTATCCTCATGCTTACCAAAACGGTATAGATATAGTAATAATATTTCAATTTATTTTTTTTTCTCCCAAAAGTTGCATGGCTAACCACCCTTGCGAGTTGGTTCCCGTCGTTCAAGATAATTATGGACCAGAGACAATATTAAAGAGGAGTTCAGAAGCTGTCCACAGGACTGTTAAAATACTTACTGCCTGGAAATCCTGTCAAGAATTTCTTCAGTCCAGGTGCACATGTACATTGTCCTGTTGTCTGAGTTCTTATATACAATTGCTACAGACTCTTTGGAACTGTGTTCAAAGAATAAATTGAAACAGATTTGATCCTTTATGAACAGAAATAGTCTCTGATGTTAATTTGTGATAATCATTGAAAAGTTGTTTCTTTGCTTCGCTCATGAGAATGTACATCTCATAACCCTTTACACTCTTAAATCAGTATACATATTCTCCATACTGTTCTCTGAACATTTCCTACGATACCGACATGGAGAATTTTTCTAACAATCAAGGGCTTGTATAGTCGGTGATTAGCTCCTTTATTCTCCCGACCTTAATGTTTGATTCAGGCGTGATATGGTAAGGAGAAATTAGATGCTAGTCACTCTTCGGGGTTAAAGGGTTAAAGAATAAGTATCCAGTTTTCCCGCTCCCCTGTAGGGATACGTGACTAAACGTATGTCTTTTGCTAGAACCCAAGCTTCCTCTTAGACTCCACGACCCTCAGTAATGTGGGTGCATATCCCCATCATGTTTGTTACTCTCAAAATGTTTGTGTTGCCCAGCTAAAGAAGTAACTTTAATCTAGATATTTTGTATTTGATTTACAACAATACTTACTTCAGGCTCAACTCGAGAATTGTTTCATTTAGTACGGAGCTATCGAATGTAAACCAATGAAAGCCATGCTCGTGATAACCTTACTAAAAAACAAGGTGACATTCACGATATTCGAAGCGTCCATGTCCTGTTCATTGTCATTATATGATGAAAGAGAGAGAAAGAGAGATTAGTTAAGGAAACACCAATGAAGTAATTGGTCCTTCGGCCGGTTAACTTTGTTCCAACAAACTGTAAGTACTGAAAGGATAGTTCAGTGTCATTCAGTTCATCTTTTATTAGCGGGTTATCACGACAATGGTTTTCGTTGAACGAAAACCATATCATGATTTCTTACCAAAAAAAGACAGGCATTGAAAATGGACGCTATCCGTATTCTTTACATCCTCACAATAACACAAAATGCCGGAAAATTCTTATTCGGTAAGTTGACATGGTGTTCTCTTAAAACAGTGGAGCGGTTGATCAGAATGTCTCATAATTGTTCGCTGTAAACGCAATTGTGCGCAACACAAGCGTGCGATTTGGCCAAGTCGCGCGATTGAGGCCTGGCCTGGTGATGTTCGCCAAAACAAAGTTCCGCGTGGAGTTGCCTTGTACCTACTCCAAGCGGCTCTCTAATTGTCTGCTTATTGTGGGATACCCTTAACTAGTCCAAGTTCCACGGTTAAAGGAAAATATTTTTTCTCCTTATTTGTGCTGCAACCCTATACATCGCTGTTATTATGAGCCAGTTTCAAATGTCTCTTACCTTCGTATGAAAGACACGATGGGAGCTTTACTTTTACAGCATTTTCTTCCTCGACGTCGTTCTTTCGTTTGACATCGTTATTAGGATCAGTCTCAGATTTCCCATTCATCGAATTTTTTCCGATTGGTTGTCGTTGGTGGCTCATAGTAAAGAGAAAGCAATATTTAAGCTGCTGATGTTGAAATGGGATCGACACATGGTAACAAATGCAACTTTAAACAAACAAGTGACACCCAAGTAAGAGGTCAAAATCAAGCTACAGGTACCTTTTTCAGGAATTCTATTTTCCTGACAGTCTTTTATCCCCATGAGCCAGAGATGGGTACTAGGCGCCACATCAGGTTCATACCATGATTCAGTGCACACCTTGGGTGTAAAACAACTCTCCTATGAGGTGAAGTTCGTGCTCCGTTGGTAAGTACCATCGCGTGTAATGACACCAAGTAGTTATTACTTTTGGTAGTCTAAGGAAAAAGGTTAAAAACAATATTGAATAACTTTTTGGTACAGAAAGTCTCAGCAGACTTGAAACCTTCCATTATTAAAATTTACATAATTAGCGCTGGATGAAAACAAGGATCTCGGATTTCATTTTGAGGATGGGTACAGTGCGTTTTATTATAGTCCTAGTACGATCGGATAGTATCATAATAAAACTTTAAAGCAATAACGCTCAAACAGATGCTTGCTAACACTGTAGAAGCTAAAAACTAAATTCTATATCTTAAAAGAGTATAATTCAAGTTAGGAAGCCACTGCGAAGGTCTCACGAAGGGTCTTTTAAAACCTTGATTGTGAAAGACACCCACCTTTCTCCTCCTAAGGACTCTGGGGACACGAAGATTATTGCGACTAAAAATTCAACCTATTCTGTAAAATTGAAGTTTGAAACAATGTTACCCAATTGATCCGACAGTTGAAAAAGCTACTGAATTATCTCAAGCAAATCTTGCGTATAAATCCGACAGCTTCTTTGTGACGTATGAGCGCGTGCGTGCCAGTGGTTCTCAAGTTTGACTCGGTAGTACTTCTGCGTCGTGCGCAGAAATGATAAACTATGAAAAACGAGCTCGAAACTTGTTTGTTGTTCACTAAAATCGTTCCAATGATTCTCTGAACCAAGCCATGGGGTCAAGTGTTTAGAGGAGAATGTCCTGGCTTGGTAAGAAATATGAAGTCAAATCATCGGTGCTCCCGCTCTCTGGTACAGTTTGGAGTTGTACCATAAAAATGAAGCTCATTCAGGGTAGACGGTGAGTGGTTTCGAACATCATCGTTTACAGAGCTTTCGTTAGCACAGTCGTCTAAAGACCGGTCATGCTCTTACGCAGACTGCAGAACATGCGGGCCTTGCAGACCGCACAAACCAGGCAGACCTCACTTTGTTCGCTGGAGAATTTCGCCTCTAACAGCTCGCGAGACACTGACAAATTCATTTATGACATATCACGTAATCGACTTCGATACGTATCCAATTTTACCAGTACTTTTTGTTTTTGTTTTTGTTTTTTTTTTCAGCCTGAGGAAAAAAACTACGTTTTCTCGTTTATAAAATTTTATTTTACGCCTCGGTGGACGTTAAATGAAAGAAAAAAAAATTTTCTGGGAAGTGGTTTTTGACTGGGTGATAAGCGGTTAAAAATAACAGACGAGTGCCTTTTTGATTTCTGTTCCCGCTTCCCGCCTCCCGCCCCTCAGACCCCTCTTCCCACCCTCTTCCGTTCCCAGTCCTCCCCCTCTACTCTAGAGTACTGATTAAATAATCATCTAAAGACATCATTTGGAAATCATTTTCGGGACCCTAACAAGAGATCATTTTGCCACAAGTTATTTGTTTGTCTTTGGTTGGTACAAGGAATGAAACGATCTCCCAGGACAAGACGGACGGGCCATCTGATGACGTTTCTTTTTAAGTCTAAAATGGACGTAACGAAATAAACGGGACCAAGAAGTGTTGAGTGGCTTCGCTGCTCTGCTAACTTTTTGTTCCTGACCTGTCCCCTCTTTGTCCTTCATCTTCTGCCGCTATTCAACTCTTACTCCGTTTTCCAAATCCAATATGGCGGTCTGCACGGTCCGCAGTCTGCGTTTTATCAAGACCGTTTTAGAACTGAACAGTCATGCGATTCATTCCACAAGTTAGCGTTGAATGAAATGTGTGACATTTTAAGTAAAAGCAAAAATCTATAATATATTTAAAAGAAAGGGCGAAATATCTGTAAATTTACAAAAGAAAAGATTCTTTTGTCGGGAAAAAAGTAATAAAGACAGAAAGAAAGCAGCGAGTTTGTTAAAACTGGAAACTTTTGTCTTATCTGAGCCCGCGCTCTAAGGAAATTCCAGAGAGGACTAAAGAGACTGGGAACAAGTATAAGAAAAGATTGGCTGATGAAATTACTCTTAGGATTTATTTATGATTTTTGTAACTTTAAAATTCTCTTCGTGAAAAGGTTATTCTCAAGACATGCCGACCGTAGACCTTAAGCGAGACTTGTTATTCAAGGCCATTGGAAAGGAGTACAGTAAGTATTATCGGTTCTAGTGTAATGCACGTGGTAAGATTTTCGAACAAATTGAAGTGAAATATAAAGGAAAGTGAAATAAAACAGGAGTTATTTGTTCCAGCGGATGAAGAGTTTGAAGAACTGTGCTTTGACTTTGGACTTGAACTGGATGAAGTGGTGAGTAACATCTGCATTATATTCGTGCCTTGTATTCTCCATTTGTCAAAGAAAAACAGCCTTTTTATGAGTACTATTTGGAATAACTAGAGTTATCTGGGCTTCCTCTAATGGACAGGGTGGCAATTTGGTGTGCACGCTACATTTAATCACGGATAAAATTCTATAGAGTGAGTTTGTCTAACAAACAAACTGAACAAAACCTGATCTTGGAACCTTAATGAGAAATTACGCACACTTTAAAACAAAAATCAAGTAATCAGATGAATTTTAAAATTTGTTACCAAAATGTGTTAACCGTTCGTCACTACTCAGTCACGACAGGAGATGGATACTAGCAGCTGCTACCAGCATATACAACATACCTCATTTTGTTGTTGGTGTTGTTGTTGATGTTGTTGATGTTGTTTCTTTTTTTTCCAACAAGTTTCATGAGTTGTGATTCTGTAATCCACACAGGTTGAGGAAGGTGATGAAGGAGTCATCTACAAAATTGAAATCCCAGCCAACAGGTGGACTACATTTTATTTTAATTATAAACAACTTCTGGACTACAGGCATCATGCTAGATGTAGAAAGCTTCAATCTAGAAACATTTTTTTAACTGTTATGCTTTTAATTTCCTTCATCCTTTGTAGTACCAAAATAAATATGTGTCAATAATTTTTTTTGTTTAATGTTGATTTAAATTACTCCATTAACTTGATTATAATTTGATTACACAGATATGACCTTCTATGTCTGGAAGGAATTTCAAGAGGAATTCAAGTTTTTCTTGGAAAGTGAGTTTATTAGAGAATCCTGTAATTGAATTGTGACAATCACTCTGACGAAGGGCTAAGGCTTGAAACGTCAGCCATTTAAACTCTTTACAGTGGCCAATTTGCATTTTCAACTCAGTTGATAACACCAAATTACCCTATTGAATTGTGACAATTGTTTTGTTAAAAAAATCCTTTAGTTTCTGCTGTGAGGTCAATTCACTTAATTCACTCAATTGATAAAACCAGCTTATCTTGTTATACTCCCACTGATGCAGCACCTCTGACAGTCTCTTTAGAAACTCGCTCACTTTATTAATATGTACCAAACCTTTCCGCATTTAGTGGCTTTCCTTCTTTCCTTATATTTCAGGATAAAAGCTCCTAGATACAAAGCTGTGAAACCCAGTGGTTCTATGCAGAGATTAAAAATCTCCAAAAATGTATGTATTTTCTTCCCAGTCCTTTCTTGATATACCTATAGGGCATGTTGAGTCTTGTTTCAAGTTTTAATTTCTTTCCATGCTGAAAATGATTCTTTAGTTTAATGTGAGTCAATACACATAATGTGTATATTTTCCAACATCACAAATCGACTAAGTTGTACAATATAACAAGTTATAGTGTTATAAATTACAGTCTATACATGATATAATATAAAATATTATGGAGCCATTCAACATAGTTGTATACGTGTGTATAGAACAGTCTGTAATCAAACAAAGGGTTTGTTTCACTCAACAGTAAATCCATTAAACCTATGATTCCTTGAGATTACCTTTGATTTTCACTGTTAAGCAGAAAGAGAATTTAAAAAAAAGATGTCCTATTAGAGGATGCTTTCATGATAATTATTAAACCACAGAAGTGAAAAGTAAGCTAATTGGAAAATGTGAGGTTGTCTGGTAAAGAGGAAATTGTCAAGTCCTGGCACTGAAGGAGTTAAATTTCCTACCATTTTGGTCCATTCTGAAAGGACAAACATTACTTAGATGTCATCAAAATCTGTGGATTATGTTAAATGTTCATTAGAAAGTTGGAACCCTCTAATGAAAAACTTTCCTAAAAGATCTCTCTTAGGAGAATAGTCTAATTTTCTTAGACTACCTTATGACTTCAAGGAAATTTTGCTAAGTTTTTGAAAATACTAAAGAATATTGAATTGCACCAAGAGTAGGCTTCTTTATTTTTTAATTACATGGAGTGTAATTTAATTTGAAGAAGTGTGCTCCAGTGATTGTAAATTTAAGTGTGGTTCTTGAAACTCTTTTTGTTATATTGAGCAAGTGTTATCTCTTGATGAGTCATTTTGCCAAACATGTGATGGCAAAAAGTTGAAGGGATGTTTCTCTGTTTTTACAGACAGCTCTTGTCAGACCTCATTGTGTTGCTGCCCTCATAAGGAATATTACTTTCACTCAGGTAATGTCATTATTATTTCATTTTTAAGTTTTTTACTCAGGCTTAATAGAATCAATAAGCAACATCAATTTCATACTTCATCCTTCATCTATTTCCTGTTTATGAAGAGGGTCACCTATAAGCTTGTTCTCATTATAACTTCTTACACTCCAGGAAAGTTATAACAGCTTCATTGACCTTCAAGATAAACTACATCACAATCTTTGTCGACGTAGAAGTCTTGTTGCCATAGGAACTCATGATTTTGACACACTGCAAGGACCATTTTTGTATGATGCTCTTCCTCCTCAAGATATCAAATTTATACCTCTTAACCAGGTGAGACATGATACAGATTTATTTACCACACTGTGAAAGATTATATGGACTTAGTACCATAGCTTAGACAAAGTGATATGAATTTCATTCAGTTATTATAAGGATGACTCCTTACATTTAACAATTAGGTTAGATTTAAAATGGTTTTGATGAAACACACTGGATGAGATTGTATCTGTGCATATATCTTTGATGGTGTTAGTAGTGAATTACACAGATTAAGATTGCCTTAAACCCATTGAGGATACATGCTCCCTGCATAATTTAGATTATTTGTCGGTAGCATTTTAGCTTAACTGGAACACTCACACCACAGGACTTCTGTGTTCCTAAAATTAGAAACTTTATGCAAATAACCAATAAAATATGTTTCATTTTTTTTCATCTCTTTGAATACAATATAGCCTAATGGGAAGTTACATTGAGATATCTTTATATTGACCAAATTTAAAACTGCAGAACTATTTTGTTCAAATCTATTTATGGTCTTGGGTAGTATCTTGGGATGTCTTGTAAATCAAAGAACTCATGATGTAAATGTATGTACACTTTTTCTGCATACTTGTTCAGTATTTTAGCACTTTGATGATGAATGTGCGCCTAATAACCAAGAAACTACGGTACCTTTTCATTAAAGGTTTACTACATTTAAGAACAAGCTAATGGCATGTAAGTTAATAATAGTTTGAATGGAAAAGCTGGCTCTATAGCAGTAGATTACTAATAGTTTTGAGGTGAATATTTTTTAGCCAAATGAGAAGCATTTTTTCTCATTGGCTGAAAATTGATTGATTAGAAGGCAAGCATACCTGTATGTTCTCTTAGTCCAACTTATTTTCTCTTAGACCAAAGAATTTACTGCTGTTGAATTGATGGACTTGTATAAGGTAGGAAGGAGCTGAATACTCTCAAAATCAATAATTTTTTCCTTCCCTCAAGGTCTTTTGGGGTTAAGTTGTTGGTTTGATCTGCATCAAGAATTTTTTAAATCTGTATTACCTTTACAACTACAAAACTTGAAAAATCCAGGGTTTAATGTGCAAAAATTGTGATATCTTCCAAATTTTTAGGAAAAACAATAATTGTTTTTGTGGAGTGGAAGTCTATCTTTACTTGTCTGTTTGCAATAAGTTAACTGTTATTTATACTGTGAGACCATTTTTTTGGCCTCCTCTTTTTGCTTGTGGTTATTTATCATTTTGTTTATTCTGTTTAAAGGGGGAAAGCCACTTGAAACAGTACCTGCCAATCATTCGGGACAAACCAGTTTATCCTATCATATTTGATGCCAAAAGTGTTGTGCTGTCAATGCCACCAATTATCAATGGTAAGCTTCAAAACTGATTTGAGTTGATTTAATTTCTTTATACTGTAATACAGCTGATATGTAGCCAATTTTGATGGTGCATCATTTATTTGTAAGAAGGAAAATTTGTTAAACGTCAGCTATGATTAACCATGACCAAGGCAAAAACCACATGTCTACCAGGAAGTGATTTCACTTTCTCTTTGTTTATACTTTATATTGGTAATTGCTAAAAGATTGGATATCAAAGGGGATCATTGTTTCATTTTACACGTGTTAAGTTTTCAGTTATAACCTTGAGGCTGTATACTACTTGTGGATCTGGTAACACTTGACTGGCCATAGAAATAAGGCACTACTCAAGACCCCTCTACAAGCTTGAGAATGGTCATGTTATCTGATAGAATGAAAAAGGGGATGAATGTAATGATGTTACTTTTCACCCATGCTGTAAATGAAAATTTTTCTGCAAAATTTTGGAAAAATTATCTAAGCTTGGTGTTTTAAAATACCAAATATTTAACCACATGCTTCGTATGTTAGGTGAACATTCCAAAATAACTCTCAACACAAGAAATGTCTTCATAGAAAGTACAGCCACAGATCTTCACAAGGTATAGTGCTATTGCTGATGAGAATGAATACATCTGTGTTAAAATTTAACATGAATGTAACTAATGTACTTCTGTTAATCAGGTGACCATGAATGTTTATTTAATATTCATGGCTCCCTGCAATAACCAATCTTTTAGTAGCAAGTTTACATCCATAAACCTAACCTTAAACTGCAAGAGACTTTATTTATTTTTTTTTTCTTTATTTATTTTTTTTGGCTGGTGTTTGTATGAAAACAGAATCATTTCTCTTCATTATTAGGCTAAAATTGTCCTGGACACACTTGTGACAATGTTCAGTGTCTACTGTGAGGAACCATTTGTGTAAGTGTACAAGAAGTATTGTAGTTTATAAGACAAATTGCAAAACAGGCCCAAATTACTTTTTCGATCGAAATGTGATTTTTAAAGAACAATAAGATAATTTTGGCCTACAAGCACTCTTTTGTATAACAAATATTACACTGTATCAGTCCTTCAGATTTTTGCTAAAGTTCTAATCTAAGAAAGATGGCTATTGAAACAACTTTGAATTATAGATTTTTTTGTTTCACTTCCCTAAAAATATATAGCAGATCATCTGCAGAAAATAAATACAGGGTGATTCCACTGATGTAAAGAAAAGTCTCAAGGGCATAGTTTGGTTTGATTTCCCTTAAAAACAAACATTTTGACCCCAAAGAAGTGACTTTAGCTTCACTTAAGGTCAAATTCGATGGATCTTCTGTTGACTCAAACTTTTTACATTACTTGTAGGTTGAGTCAATCTGTAGGTACATTTAAGGAATATCAGAAGGCTTAGCTTAAGTGGTAGCTGTGAAACTGACTGGGTTTATTTGACACTTTAAAAGGCCAAAATGCCGTATTACTGAGATATATTTAATTTGTTACCAGACCTTAAATGTTAACCTTTTCTGTTCCAGGGTGGAATCTGTTGAAGTTGAGCAGCCAGATGGATCAGTCCTTGTTTATCCAGTATGTTACATATCAAACTCACTTCTGCATCATAGCCAGTTTACACCACTCTAACCTGTCCACAAATCTTTGTTCTCGTGTCCATAGAACTAAAAAAAATGAAAGCCAGCAAAATCACCTGAATAAGCTATGGGCTACATGTTGAGTTGATCTTTTTTGACATTTTGACAAAGGTGTCAGATGACACACACAGCAGCACTGTTCATTAGTCCTTTGTGTGAAATTACAGATGATCAACGCGTTAGCTAACGCGTTAGCGAAAGAGCACTAACGCGTTGACTTCTTCGAGCCCACGCGTTGACAACGCGTTAGGTGGTTCGCTTATCTTCGAACGGTACTGTACCTAATCGAATCTGTACTAAAAGTTGCCTCTGTTTCCTTTTCACACTAGGAACTTAAATATCGCCATGAAGTGGTCAGTGTTGAGCAGATTAACAATAAAATTGGAATCAAGTAAGATGTTATTTTTACTCAGTTATGTACATGTAGCAAGATAGCACACAGTTCTTAAAATTAATTTATTGATCTGATTAAATTGTTTCTGCCTGTTCACAGGGAATCTCCAGAGAGAGTTGCAGAATTGTTGACAAGGATGTGCCTTCAAAGTGAGGTTACTGATGGTGGGAAAAACGTCAAAGTAGAAATTCCTCCAACTAGAGCAGATATCCTTTCATAGAATTTATTTATCTTGCTTTGAACTCTGTAGTTTTTATGTCAAAGAAATGTAATGTACCATAACCACAGTGTACTTCTGTTCATTTCCATATACATCCACAATCTTGCTGATTAAATCTATATGTCTTGTGATTCATTTTCTTCCCACTTCTCAGCTCTGATGCATTTGTTGGAGAACGTTCTTCCGTGTAGTGCTGATTACCGTTGGAATCAAGTGCCATTTTACAGCACCTAAAAAAACTCACTTTTGTCTTATTACATGACTTGGGCCTTTTAGAGTCTAAATTTGCCATCTCAAATGTAATGCAGCAAAAAAGGTGAATAGTGTAAGTCCATTGTCAAACCCTTGGGATGTTAAAAGCAGCTTAATGAAGCAAGGTTTGTAGCTCTTTGGTTACTCATGTTATTTTCTTGACACTTCACAAATATTATCCATGAGTGTGATATAATTGAAGATGTGGCCATTTCTCATGGATTTAATAACATTGTAAAGAGAATACCTCCAACCAATACTATTGCTAATCAGGTAAGATGAGCAAAACTTCATGTGACCTCTCTAAATTGGAATGAATTTGATAATTAGCTTACTTGGTTCACGAATCCTTTTTCTATCTTAAATTTATACACCTGCATAAGGAAATAACATTTTCAGGTTGCAGATTGATAGGTTGTAGATCTTTGATTAGAGTAATCAATGTATAATTGATATAAGTTTCTCAATCACTTTTTTTAAAGTTTTATGTCAGTTAATTAGTGTCCTCAATTAGTTGTTCTGAAATAATTTTTTTCCTTTTTTTTTAATCCAAGTATACATTTGTCAGCTCTTGTTTACTAAATCATTGTGCATGTAAATATAATGTAGGTTAGGAAGTTACAGTCACAGTCGTTGCAATCATTTTGATCAGAAAGCAGAGAACCCGGGGTGATTAACTACTGCAGCACCAAAAGTTTTGTTACTTCTTTTGCAGTTCAAGTTGAACACACTCTGTGATCTGCTGAGACAAGAAATAGCTCAAGCGGGCTTTACAGAAGTTTTAACCTTCGCTCTGGTAAGAGATGCTTTTTTCCCGGATAGCTTTTCCCAGCGATTTCAATACGTTATGTTTGTTTGCTGTGTTTGTGAGTTTTGCGTGGCTCAATGCTTCTGTTTATCATCATCAGAGAAGAAAATAATTCTAATAGAACTCAATTTGGCTCTTGCGTTCTTTACGTAAATACTTTTGTCAATTCTTATAAGAAAAGTGACACATCAACCCGAAAAGTCAATGTTAAAGACCTCTTCTCAGAATTGGCTTTTGTTTGAAATCCTTGGCTGTAATTTCTCTCAAGTCCTAACGATCTCTCTCTTCTTTTTCCAGTGTTCCCGTGATGATGTTTCGGAGAAACTCAAGAAGCCTTTGTCGTCTTCAAAAGCTGTTCACATCGCAAATCCAAAAACACTGGAATTCCAGGTTTACTATTTTTTCTTTTCTTTTCGTATGGAGTTAAAATCTTTAATTTTCTTTATACATGTATTTTAAAATTACGATTATATTTTTTTGTGCGAGGATCTCGCCTTTAAATCGGTGAATTGAAAAACCTTCGGTGTGTAAGCGGAGGAAGATTTAGAAGTTATTTCGTTTTGTTCCTCTTTGTCGTTTGTTCTTGTTATTGTGGCCTGTTTTAAAAAACTTAGCAGTGAAGCAGAATTTGGATAGGTGGAGATAGCGACCTGATCACGTGCGGTCTCTTATGTCTTACACCAGTTATCTTTGAGTCCTCGTGATATTTTTCTTTTCTCTGATCGGCTGCAGCTAGGTTTGAATCTTCTGCACTCATCAATAAGCACTCTGACCATTTCAATTACTTACAGGTTGCAAGAACAACACTTATTCCTGGCATCCTAAAGACCATTGGCTGTAACAAGAAGATGCCTCTCCCAATGAAACTGTTTGAAATTTCAGACGTGGTACACAGCGATGATCAGAAAGGTACAGTGCGATTTGTTGGTGTTCTTTGCACGACTTATGCACTCACTACTTAATTAAATATTATTTAATTGCGACTGATAAACAAAAAACGAAATAAGCCTCGCAGTAAAAACGCAATTAAATAAAGCATAAAAAGAAGCCTGAAAAAAAGTTAGACTTTAATAGGATTCGAGCTAAAACCTTTCCGATAACAAGTGAACGTTACTAGCAACATATTTGGCACACTTTTTACAGTAATACCTTGTCTTAGTCACTCGATTAAGCAAAAAGCTATTCAAAATTTTGTCTTCGGTGGGTATGGACAAAATAACCAATGCTCCATGGCTCTTTTTTTCTTTTTCAAGATGTTGGAGCTCGAAATCACCGTCGTTTCTGTGCCGCGAATTACAACAAGACGCCGGGATTTGAGGTAAGGTCACTGTCGCTGTAAGGGTAAGGTGCTGATTGATTAGGCACGCGAAGCTACGTTAAGCAAGCCTCGCGGTATTTCCAGCACTTTCCCTCAATGTCCATCTGAAGTTCGTTTGAGATCCCTTTTAGTTACGCCTTAAGTGAAGGTTTTACCTATCTCCAGGTCATTCATGGTTTGTTGGACCGCACCATGCAGCTCCTTGAAGTACCGTACACAGAGGATAAAACGTCAGCACACGGATATTATCTGGAGGCTCATGCAGGTATCTGTGTTACTCCCTAAAACTACAATTGATAAAACAAAATTATCCATGAAATATTTTTTAAACGACTGAATGTCTAACTTATTGCCTAGGTAACTACCTTAAATAAAGATGTATGTTTGTTTATTCGCAAGCTGGTTCGCACGTTCATTAATTTATTCATGTGATAATTTTTCAGATGAAACCTTCTTTCCTGGTCGATGTGCGCAGGTGATCGTTAACGGAAAGCCCATCGGCATCATGGGAGTATTACACCCAGAGGTTGTCAGCAACTTCGAGTTGAATTTACCATGCGCAGTGCTCGAACTGGACGTGGAGGAGTTCCTTTGAGGGAATCAGTAATTACTGAAATCAATAGCTGAGTTATTCAATAGTTAGCTGCCTGAGGCTGCAGAGAAAAATGAATTTAGGAAATATTTCTGAAGTCAGAGAATTGCCCACTTGCTCATTCAAGTATGCTGAAACACTTGAATTTGCATAACCTTGGTGATGAAGCTTTCTACTTCCTGTTAAGTCACATTTTATTTAGAGCCGTCGCTCTCCATGCGATTTGACCAGTAACTGAATAATGCCCGCTATCTCATTAGTCGTTTCCTCTAATTTACTCCTCTTGTTTTGACCATACTGGCGCACAAGTCTGAAAGTTTTTGCTAGATTTTTTCCGATTAAGAAAGTGAAGGTTTAGAAGGCTGGAGCTGAGTAGGAGCTGTTTAGAGGTGGAAAATAAAACAGCTCAAATATCTAAAAGTGCTTAAACTGAAACAAATCGAAATTTTGCTTAGTTTGCCGGTCTATTCGAAAAAAGATCGATTTCATTTAGCCGTTTGCCTGCTCAGTTATAAATCAGAAAAGGTGTGAGCAACAATTAGTAATGCGCTCGCCTATGGCCTCCGTGCTTCCTGTTAGTTCTCAAATCATTTTAACGTCATCTGTGTCTCTAACTTACTGATTGAATAAGGTGAAAAAGGAATCTATTTGTGAAATAGATTCGGCTGTCTGCCTACATTAATTTTCAAGAGCTCAAGAAGGTCACCCTAAGATAAGTTTACTCCGTACTGTGTGTTTTAATTAAAAAGTTTTAACCAAGAAGCTATAGTATTTCAATGCACAAATTCCAAGACAGTTAAAAAAGGTCCGATGTGTTGAATAGCAAGGCCCCAGAGGAATGTCGGATCTCTTCCTAGATCAGCAAATTCCATCACTGGTTCCCATACCACTCTGCTGCATCACTCTTCTGTACATTTAACGCCTCCATTGCGCCGATTACCTTAACAAAACTAATCTTATTATAACGGCCTAAATTTTGTTTGTGTCCATGAAGGAGAAGAGATCTTGACAGACCTTTTTTCAGGCACTATGAACAATTATGAGCAACTTAACGTGCCGATAAATCCCTCACTACAATAGCTGTTTTTCGTAAGTATATATGTCGTGAGGGTGAAGATGAACTGCATTTTTCAGTGTAGGATTATAAAAATGAAAATAAACAAAATTAATAGGAGGTTTGTTTTAGGGATTTATTATTAACCGCAAAGGTCAGATGGAAAAAAAACCCGTGTTTGCTATCGATGACATTCATTGATATATGCCTCATTTATCATTTGATGGATTGATGGATTTTCGTGCTTTTCGCTTTCCTTGAGGTCAAACCTCCAGAACTGAAAAGAAACAAAAAAGAAAATTGTTTCAGGTTTTCTTCGCGAGCTTGGCTGTTCTTGCTGCAGCGCATGGTAATTTCAAAAAATCTTAACGAAGAATCCTAACAAGATTTCTTAGGGATAAAGAGTGACGTTGGGAAGTAAATTCGCCAGAACTACTGTAACTGAAGTTTCCACGTGAAACAAGACATGGACATGCACAGTTATTGTGTATCACAAGTACAAAGAGAGGGCATCCTACCAGAGGGCATTTCACCCTTAGCTGGGTGAAATGGTCTGCGACAAGGTGTGGACATGCAACCCCAACAACTGATAGCTACACGGAAAGCTGACAGGAAACAAATTACGACTGAAATCGATACAACTTACGACGTATGCAAACAACAAACATCCATGGGTCATGCAAACTTTTTACCAAGATAAGCCAAGAAATTCTACAGGATGAAGAAAAATTTCCCTTTACTTCGTCATGTACCGTTACTAATTTCACGAGCCGAAACCAGAATTTCTTTTTTTCGGTTAAAAGCGAAATAAGATTTATTTTGTAAGACCCGACGTTTTGACATAATCCCTGGATACAAGCTTTTTAACCAATCACAGTTTACTCCTCTGGGTCTAATTAAGTAAACCTTTCCACGAGAAATTATCGGACTTCCGTTTCTGTGTTTAAGATCAGAGCGGTAAGCGGTCCCGTCGGTATCGTGATCTTGCAAGGTTAAAGATAACGCGTAAGCGATATCTCTCGCTGATTAGTTACTGTGATCAAACTGAAGTCTGTGAAAGAATCGAACCTTTGTTTACAGTTTCATTACCCCCATGGTGCACCAAACAGGCGTACACTGTATGGTTAACGAAATGTTGCCCCGATTTTATGTAAGATTGGATCATGCCTTTGGTTTCCTGGCGGTGCTGTTGTTTACCATCAGCAGATCTTTAGAGGTGAGCTGTTCTTCCTTCCGTTTTGATTCGTTTAGTTAGTTCAGGTCTTGCAACAGATGAGGGGAAACCCAACCCAGGAATATGTATACTGCATGGCTTATTTTTTTAATTCCTCAGCATGGGAAACGTTTCGATAATCTTGATTATACCGAGGATTGTTCTCATTTCTCTAACTTATGATTTGCGATAATACAAACGTTTTGAGGGTTAAACATGGATTTTATTTTTCTCTGTGACTGCGTTGAGAGCGAAGTGGACCAACTTAGATGCATGGCATGTTCATGAACCGTTTTGTCTAAAGAAGCACGCACGGACGATTAGAGATTTTAGCAGCTCTCACAAGACATTTTCCAATCGAACTCTACGCATGATTTTCGTTTCCATTCACATGAGAAGGCATCTAAACATTCTCAGATATTTTCAGTGGAAGGTCAGATACTTTGCAAACTGTGATTTTAAAATACCCAGAAATGAGCGTGCCCTAGAAGTCTTGATTTATCTTTTAGGAAAAGTCATTTCAATCAAACTATTACAGAAAATTCCATTGCAGTCGAAGACATGAAAATCTAATTTGTTTAGACAGACTTGTGATCAAGTGCATTCCTTTGATGATTTATTTATTGAACCCTTTCGGAGAAGAATTCCATCTAAGTCATTTCGGAGTTCTTATCAAGACTGTCAGAAATTAAGTCAAGATTGTATCCGCTGGGTTGATATTCAATGATATTTAGTTCCAGAGAGATTTTAAGTGTTTATTTTACTTAAACAGTTCAGTTGATTTTTTCTTTTTCGTGCTTTGCCCGGTGTACAGCCAAAAGCTACGAGTCGGATCAGACAGATTTTTACAGAATTCTTCATCCATTTATACCAGTTTTTTAAACATGCTCCACATTTTCAATTGTCTGGTTTTCTTCTTATCCAGAATCCTGATATCCAATCTGATAAATGGAATTCGCAAGTAGAAAGTTATGAATCAGCCATTTGGGAAAGGAGACCTTCAGTGCGTAAGGGAAGACCACCGGGTTAGTGAGCTGTTTTTGACTTGCAGCGGGAATCTCAACGGTGGATGTCCTTTGATCCACCTTGGTTGATAAAATTGATATATTGCAACAACGCCAACATATTCGCGCCAGGCAACACACACCATTCCAACAAAACTCATCTGATCGACTCTTAAAGGACTGATAAAGACCCTCCTTCCTTAACATAGCTCATAGGTGAATATCCAAAACAGATTTAGGACCCGACGAGAGTCAGATTTCACTCAACTGTATAAAATACCTCCAGGCCTGAAACAGCTCGTTGTAATGCTGGATTCCCCATATCTCAGCGGGAGATTTTCAAATCCGAGGAAGGCGATAAAAAAAACGTCACGAGAAAAGAATGAATTTTCAGGGTCCTTAGTCACCAGCATGCTTCTTCCCAAGAGTTTCTTCTTGTGTTTGGGATTTCATTTGTTGGATTCGAGCGTTTTGATCCAAACATTGTATAGATTCTATATGTCCGATTCGCTCACTTGTTCTGCTTTCGTTCGCAACACGATACATCGCCTCAAGCCATAATCATTTCCCAGGCTTTAATCCCGCGCCTACCACTCGACATAGCCTCATTTGAGGGGCGAGTGCGGGTTATCAACTGACCGAAAGCGTAGTTTTCGTCCTTTCAGACTTAAGGTTAGATTTTACGAAACTGGAGAAGCCAAATGATAGGGATAGTCAACACACGTGGGTTTACTAAAATACAGTTGAATCGGTTGTTTTATATATTAGACATTTTGCATTTTCACACTTCTCGCAAAATCACCAACCTTTCATGGCAAGTGAAACGCATGGCAAAAGATTCCGGCTAGTTATTTCTGTCTTAGTTAAAGTTGCCATACTTTGACAGGTTGCTGCCCTCCTGAATTGTACCTTGGGTTTGAAAACAGCACTTCATACAGTGATCATGACAATCGTGTCACAAGTGTTGACGCACCCTGCAGCAATTACGCCGACATGGATCTACAACAGGTTCAATTTAGGAGTGTTAAGCTGGCAAAGATGACTGATGCGATCACAATTGCCGTCTGGGTTAACTTGCAAACCATCCAGGGCATTCAGCCAATTCTGGTCGTAAGAGGACAACATGGCGAGCTTCGATTTGAGGTTGCTGAAGGTCACGTTACTTGGTTACACACCGCTTTTCGTCCACCAATAGCAACATTTGCGCTGATAAGCAATAAACCAGTTGTGGAAACTCAATTGTGGACACATATCGTAGCGCTATATGATGCTCACAACAATCGTGCTGCGGTATTTGTGAATGGGAAGGAAATACTTCAGGGCCCTAGTGCTGGTGGATCATTGGAACTAACGTGGAATGAATTCCATGCTATTGGTAGATATAGAGTCAACAAGGTACTAGAGTTTAAACTGAGAGGGCTTCTTGACGAGTTCTACATCTACTTCTGTGCTCTTCCAAACATGGTTATTCAAAGATTTTTTCGAATGTGCCACATTGGTGGAAAATGCGCACCCTCACGACCAGGTAATTAAGTTTTAAATCATTTCGTCAACAATCTCTGATGTCTCTGCAAACGTCAGTAAGTATAAACCTTGTAATCACTCCTCTCACCTTTACCCCAATATAGCGGAGATATCTTTCCGAGCTGATCTTTTTCATGGTACAAAAAGGAAACTGTACAAGAATACATCTTAATTGCGGAGCAGAAAACCGACTGAAAGAGCCTTTAAATATTATTCATCCGCTATAATTTTTCCTAGGTCTCGATAGGGTGTGTGATGTCGGTGCTTTCCTTTGTTGGAATAGACGATGCATAAGGCAAGAGTGGAAGTGTGACGGCGAGAATGATTGTGGAGACTGGAGTGACGAAATTGGATGTGGTTGGTTCTACTTTCACTAATTTTTTCATTTTTCGTATGTAGAGCTACGGTAGGTTTAGTTTCATGTCTCCTCCTGCTCATGAAGTAGCAAGGTTTCTGAGCGAATTTGTCGGCTACAAGAAAAGAACCTTCAATGTTTCACCACCTCATCTCATCCAATCGTGTTTCCGTGATCAATTGGGCTAGATGAGATCAAGATATAGCAAAGCTGATTGACATTCCTTAACAAACAACAGCATCATGAAGTTACTCGATGCAAGAGGATTTTTTTCTCGTATCATGATGACGATGATTTAAAATTTTACCAACAGATGGTTTTTGTGCCCCTGGCGAGAAATTCTCTGTCTTTCAAGGACGATGTACGTTGTGCTTTTGCATGGGACGTTCTCAGAATTGTAGCAGTGCAAACGTGTACCGCGACAGGGTAGGTCAAAAAACTTGGTGTTAACTTAAGAATTTGGTTGCGAGGAAGCAAGTGTTTATCGTGATATGCCTCACTGATACGCATTTTATTAAATACTTTCCTTCCTTGAGTAATGTTTGTCTTTATCCAGATCACTCTAAAATTAACGACCGATAACCGTCCAACTAATGTGCCACTGGTGGGTGTGGATGGATCTCAAGTGTCCGGTATTACCTATACTCTTGATAGCTTAAACAATGAGCTATCGGCCCATAGTACGTCGAAGGGAAGAGTACATTTCTGGGCTTTGCCAAAAGAATTTTTGGGCAACAAAGTAAGTTTAAGATTATATGATTGTGAATATATGTGAACTGCGAATATTCATGTATGATTACAGTTTGAATTGTCTTTTATGTCACAGCGTTGACTTAGCACATTTTCTTGCTTACAGGATTGTTTTCTTTCATTCTGTATCTTTGCTGTATTCAAGATTATACGAAAAAAATGAAAATTGTCGGTTTCGCCTCTAGCGAATGAGAAAATTGGTAGCAATGGTTGATTGTAGAGAATTAAATAGAGCTGGCTCTGTAAAGATACACACCCTTATTAAGGTTTGAATTGCTTTTTTTATCGAAGCTGACAAGTTATGGCGGAAAACTACGTTACGCTGTCAAGTACCTCAGTGGTAATGCGTCGACGGATACTGCAAATGTTCCATCGAGACAAGTGAGAAGTGCAGAAGAAATTCTTACCATTAAGTCCTTAATGGAAGAATATGCCACTGGTGATGTCCGTGACGTAGACGACAATAACATTGACGTTGACACCGACGCCTCTGGAACAGAGGACCCTTCTTTGGATATGTCAGAACATATGTCGTCTACTATTTCGACGCAGTTTACATCTAGAAGCAGTAGAATTAAAGAAATTCCTTTTATTTTACCCGAAACTAACGCAACGTCAAAACACACTATTAGTACGGATGGCTCTAGAAACGTTACAGAGAACCCTGGAGCTTCAACTGCAGCGATAAAATTCTCAACCGAACGAACACGAACACAACGTCCATCACCACCAACCATACACACAGGAAACATTTTGATAACAGAAAATGTAGAAACAACACCTACTGTAGAGGTTGACAGAGACACCAACTTAAATACTGCTTCGGAAGATGGAGGAACAACAAAGAGAGTTTTTAGTTCAGTTCCTTCTAAGTCAGAGCTGCCGGTAACTACCGCAACTCAACTGACGATGGGGAAAACTCTACCATTTCAGACCACTCAAGAAACTTCTGATCGATTAATTGCGAAATTGACACCAGACCCCTCTCTCACAACATCGAATCCTTGGCCTGAAAGTCGCAAAGAAGCAACCCCAACTGTTTTCTTTTCATCCTTGAGCACCCCGAAATCTATTTCGGAAGCAATCGCAACTACTCAAAACACGTATGACACAACAACGAATGCGTCAATAGGCAGTGAAAAAGCCAAAACAGCATCCTCAACCTACAGCAGTGACAGTCCTTCATTAGAAATGGTGACAACAATACCAGACAAGGCTTACACGACATCTAGTAGGATATCCTCTAGTGACAATTTACCAGATACTAATACTTATCCCTCCGAGCCTAATGCACCAAACAGTGGTCAAGATGGGCCACCCACCATCCTACCTTATTCGACCTACAGCACTAGGGATCCTGCTACTGAGATGAGACCACCAGAAACGTTTTCCACTTCCACTAGTCGAGTCACCGAAATAGAAGAGGACTCAACTAGTGCCGCGGCAGTGCCTTCCTCAGCCTACACTACCATGGAGCCTATTGATCATTCATTCACAGAAATGTCAAAAACTGCTCTCCACAAGACGGATCACATCAGCATTGAGGGGGCTACTACAGAATACGTTACAGTACCTCCAAGAATGTCTGAAACGACAATGATAACATCGAGTGGAGCTAAACAGGAAACGACAAATACCGTATCTGTTTCACCCGATGGTACTGACGTTTCTACTTCGAGAACCGATACAAAACCAAATACGTTTTACAGTACTACTGATGAATCAACTATTACCAAAAGCGAAACTGGTATTATAAATTCTTCCCAATTTTCTGTCAAAACCACTTCCCATGGAATTAGGTCAATTTCAAGCCAGACGAATGATAACGAAGATGCCACTACCACTGCAACATCTCCTTTGGTTTACAGCAATGAACAACTTTCTTCGGAATCTTTGCCATCTGTAACAGATTCGTCTTTTACCAAAATATCACCGAACGGTGAAAATGCATTAACTACCTCAGATCTTCCTACCGCCCATATCACACACCTGCCTACCACACAAATACCAGATACTTCTCAAACAGAGAGAGTATCAGACACCGCTTACACATTAACAACCTCAGTCGATGATGGAGATGAAACCACTAACATCCCGAGTTCTTCAGACTACAAAACTGATGTTCCGTTTTCAAAAATCGTGACATCGAAAACAGATCCTTCATCCATGAAAACCAGTGAATCCACAAATGTACAATTTGAAACAAGTGCTACGATGCCTCCTTTATCCTTCAGTACTGAAAGACCACCAGATGTATTTCACGTAACAACGAAGAAATCAACGGATAGTCTAGATGGACCTTCCACTGCCAGTGTACATGTACCAAGTACTTCGTACAAATTGACGGATTCATCTACCGCTGGCAAAGATGAGGCAACTACTTCCATTGATCTATCAGTTGTTAGTAGTGAAAGGCCAAGTGCCAAGAGAGAAATGACTATAGCACTTAAAACAGATACAACTTCTGTCGATGGTCAAGATGAAACAACCTCTTCCTCTCCTTCTTCAGCCTATAGCAATAGCATTCCAACCTCGGAAACCGGAATAACTGGTACTGTAGAAGAAATGAGCACCAACGTACCTCCTACGACGTACAGTTCTAACCAAATAGCCACAGAATACACCAAAACAGTACCAGGTATATCTTTCACAGAAAGAGGTGCATCTACTGATGGAGTAAATGAAAAAATCATGACTGAAGTCTCATCATCCTACATAAAGAAAGGACCACCCTCAGAATCCTTAACAACCAAATCAAGTGCCTCAAGCACAACAATGGTTCCTGGTGAAGATGGATCAACCACTGGCTTGTATCCTACAGCCCACAGTACTGTTGGGCTTACCTCGAGAACGACAACAAAGAAGCCAAATATATCACCTTCAGACGTGGTAATGGTCAATGGTGGAGATGGATCGACCAGTAAGCCTCCTACTTCAGACTTTAGTACTGTAACTACTACCATGGTAACTGAATCAACGATACCTAATACGCTTTACACAAAAACGAAAGCCTCGACAGGTGAGATTGATGGAAGGGATGAAAAGGCTACTGCTGCACCTGCCACATTCCACAGTACCAACAGAGTCACTCGAACGATGGCGACTGCAATTTCAGATGCAGTCTATTCGAAAACGATGGTAGTTACCACTAGTAACAAAAAAACAATCGATGAAACGGGGAAACCAACCTCAGAATCCGTATCCACAGTATCTGGTACTTCTTCCACAGGTCCAATATCGGTCGATGGTGATGATGAAACAACCCCTGATGTGTCTCCCTCAGCCTACAGTACTGATGTGACTACCTCGAGAACGGTAACAAACACACCGTATACAGTAGCAGTTGATGGCGAAGATGTATTGACCACTACCCTTCCTCCTTCAGGCCACGGTACTGACACAACAATCATGACGACTGTATCAACAATACCGGAAACAATTCATGCATCGACGAAAGTATTGACCGATCAGACCGGCGCTACCGATGGAAGAACCACTACCATGCCCTCCACATCCTACAGTACTGACAGAGCCATTTGGAAAAAGTCAGCAACCTTTGCAAACGAATTTTACACCAAAACGATGGCAGCTACCATTGGCGACGTAATAACAGTCGACACAACGGAGAAGCAGACTACAGAAACCCTTACAACAGTATCAGGTACGTTTTTTGCAAGTTCACCACTTGGTGGAGGCAGAGCAACCACTAGTGTGCCTTCTTCTGGCCATAGTGCTCCTAGAATTACCACGACGGTAACTAGACCGCTAAGTATTCAGACAATGAAGACAACAACTGCAGATGCAACTAACGCGAAAAAGGTAATGACCACCACGGATTACGAAAAAACAACCACGGCTGCGTCTCCCGTCACTTACAGAAGAACCGGTGCTTCCTCGACAACAGTGACAAAAATAGCAGATATGGCTCTAACAAAATCAAGGTTAACGACCGGAACGGATGATGAGACCACCACATCTGTGCCTTCTTCAGCCTACGGTACTTCCAAGACTACTTCCCAAACAACATCGTCTGCCACGACATCGACAGAAGAACCGTCGTCGCAGACAGAAACACAAGGTTGTGTTTATTTATTTACTCACAAAGTCGCATACCATTCAATACCATGAGCGTATCATATTACATCCCGGCTCTCTACCGTTCACGTCTTTTCTTTTAAACACTTCGGGTGGATTCTAGTTTTAAAGTTGCCAGGCGACCGTGCAGAGATAAAAATTCTTTTCTATGAAATTATATCACTTAGAGCCCCCAATTACTTTTGAAGTCAGTGGAAATTTTTATCCAGCAAAAAGCATGTTTGTCACTAAGAATTGTCCTTCCCATTGCTTGTGTAATGAAGTTGGGACCCTCAGTTGTGTTCGACGATGTTCCTATTTGTGAAGGTAACGAAAGGTAGCGAAAGAGAATTAGTGTCGCGTACTTGTGAAAAGAAAATTTGCTTCAGGGTAGATGACAAAAGGGCCTATCTAATTTTGCTAAAGAACTTCACAATGCCACCATCAACACCATGCGTTGGGCTATTTTTTATTTAATAATTTCTGTACATGACACGTAAGCAGATCTCCTCTTCCCTAACATCTTTGAAATTTTCGATTCGTTGATCATTATTGTTGAATTTTTTAGCAGATGTAACACCCTCAACCCCTGTAACTCAACCCACAGCCCCTCCACCTACTACGGCTGGGAAAGGAACAGAGGCAGTGCGAATTATGGTATGGATTATATAGAACTGATTTATCCAGTGTTCTCGTACTAGAAAGCTGGTTCTGGAAAATCGTTTTAAGTGACTTCAATTATCCGTTAACGCTTGACCACCCGAGCAGATATCATCTTTAGAATAAAGTAAAAGTAATTCTTAAATGATGATTTTAATATTCACTGAAGAAACTGAAAGTTCAAGTTTGCTTTTAAATGATTTGCAAGGTAGACAGGGAAAGAGGGTTAGCACACATTATATGAATGATTTTCCTTCCATTATTTCGCTCATAGGGAAGAGATGGCAGCGTAATTCTCTATCATGGAGTCCCATCAGGCTCTGGGAATTACCAAGCTGCTGTTGAGATCAAGCTTATTGAGGTATGAACAAAAATATTGAAGTTAGAGGATTTATGTACCTTACCTTTTTACCTCCACTTCAATAGCCTAGTGAGTTATTGTGCGAGAAACATTTGAGCATATTTTCAAATGCCACACGGATTATTGATTGATTGTTTATTCCTCATCATTCTTAGGAGGGATGGATTTCAACTGATGGAGTGCCAGTCTCCAGGGATAGTTTTATGAGGGTGTTGTCAGATGTTCAGGGAATATTCATAAGAGCCTCTTATGGCGATCGACGCTCCAGTTTAGTCGAGTCAGTTAGGTACGTGATTACTTCTTTGTGACTACTGAAAGAAACATTTTCCATATAAGAGATTTACACTGACGTCTTTTACTGTTTGGTAAGCATTAAAGATGTCTCTCTCGACGTGGCATCTCAAGAAGACGCAGGCTATGGCAAAGCCTTGTTGGTTGAAAAATGCGAATGCTCAAAAGGATACGACGGACTGTCCTGTGAAGTAAGCTATCAATTCAGTGTTCATTTTATCTACGAAGCAAGGTATCAATATGAAAACAAATCATCACCTCGCATTGTTTTGATGCTGCATTGACTTAAATGTAGGGAAATGGATCACCTTGTGTGGCCAGCGTAACCATTTTTTTATAAGTTCCTTTCAACAATGATTGCAATTATTTGTTTTTCTTAAAAAGACAAAATGTGTGATTCGTTGCAAAGTTTTGAACTCTTTCCTCTTTTCATCTACCATTCTAACATAGAAACTGCGATAAATATTCAGAGTTGTTTGATGATTTCAAAGGTATCCAGAAGTGAGGCTCATTCGACTAGACGCCTCACTAGAGAGAGAAAGGGATGCTTGTTGAAAACGCACCTAGGGACAAAATACGATACATTATTTTTCTACCGAGGTCTTGGTACATAGTATGTACTTTTTTCGTGGTAAACCTACGATGATATAGACGTTCAGTTACAAGAAAGTTATGTCCTGAAACCGCACGTCATACCTAGTAACTTTTAATCACACAATGGTATCGCTATTTTAGAAGCGATATCACTTTACGGAAGGGGCTCATAGCAAACTTGAATTTAGACGGGTGCTTTTTTTGGAGGGGAGTATGTGATAGGTTGGTTTCAGACCAGTTGACTTTTCCAAAATCATTTCTCTAAATCCTTCTCATGTTGGTTTCTTTTGATAGTACTGTTCCCCAGGCTACACGCGAACTAGTGATGGACTCAGTTGTAAAAAGTGTTCGTGTAATGAACATTCAGATGTTTGTGACCAGGAAAATGGCACTTGCTTTGTGAGTTTTTTCGTTTCCTCTCAAAGGAATATATTACAGTTTTCCTCTTACTGTAATATATGCTTGATACTTTAAATGTATTTTGGCTATGCGAAGTGTGGTTTTTGCGTTATAGACATTATCAGGAAACGTCAAGAGCACGCAGAGCTTGACGAGAATAAGTTTTTATCAACCTTAATCGATGGTTATAGCTGATTGGATGCTGTTATGTATTCCCTGATTGTCCCTTCGTTTCTTTATGACCTCACCGCCAAATCTTTTATTTAGGACTGCCGTTATAACACCGAAGGTTCGCTCTGTGACAGGTGTCGGCTGGGTTACTTTGGAAACGCCTTGAGAGGAACTCCCGCTGACTGCAAGCCGTGCCCGTGTCCGCTGACTATATCTCCAAACCAGTACGCCTCTATTTTTTACCTTAATTTTTCTTATATCCTCTATGTTATGCAGCAACATGAGGTAAGCAGCAAATTTCGACTATTTTAATGGAACTTTTCCACAGCTCGTGCCTTTTTAATGAAATAGCCTGGTGACGATTTGGTCTATATCTTCGTCGTGATGTAGTTGTTTCCATTTTAGAAATACCAGATGATTATCTTTTACCAGCATATGGCCACAGTATAGTGTAGCTAATGTTTCGTTTATATTTTCTGATATCTGTTTCCAGGTTTAGTCCAACTTGTTTCTTAGACAGTGACGATCTTCCAACCTGTGACGCATGCCCTGTAGGATATTCTGGACGAAATTGCGAGTTGTAAGTGTGTTGTGTTCAGCGGTGCCTTTGGGAACTCACAACTTAAGCAGCATGTGAGGAACGCCATTTGTGTAACTGGTCATGCGCTTCAAAATTCATGCAATTGTATAGCTAGTCTTATGCGTTTGAACACTGTTTTGCACAACACATTGCCCCTCTTGTGTCTTTCATACTTTACATGAAACTTGAGAAGCTGCAGTTAAATCCGCGTACTTTGTGCCTACCTACAGATGTGCAATAAACTACACAGGAGATCCCATGATACATTATTCCAAATGTGAACTAGCAGGTAACGCCAAAGTTTGTCTGTTCTTTAGCACCATAAGTTTGTTTTGAATAAACGGGAACAAAGATATTATAAGCATATTTTCTATCCATAAAGTGGTTCTTCAGCAGACAATGCAATTCGTCGAGGTAGCTTTTATTCTATTCGACCTGCTCATATTCAAAGTGTTTTGTTGTTGTTGTTTTTTTTGGGGGGGGATTTTTCTACTCTTTTTTCTCACTTTTCTCGTCTTTCTCTGCTGGTGCCCAACCTGCAAATTTGTTAATTTTCATGACCAGTTCAGTTACGAACTATAACCATTTCATCCTATTCCGCTGCTTCTTCGTGTAGCACCAACAGAGTGTGACACTCGCGGCAGTTTAGACACTGATTCTGACGCTCGGCAATGTCTGTGCAAGGTAAAAACGGAATTTCGCCACATTTTTCTATCTATGTTATTGGTTGGCATCTTGTTGAAAGTTCCAAAAAAAATTATGTATAATAATACTCCGTAGGGCTAATAAAATATGCGTAGTTATTATTCTCTGCATCCTTACCAATCCCGAATATAGCTTTGAAATGTTGTATCCTAAGCAGCGTGGCATTTCTGAGTTTCTAAAAGGTTTTCAACCCGTTTGCGGTAAATAGAAAGTTCAAAAACTAGTTGAGTCTTCCAAGTACTGTACTTAGGCCGATAGAAAATACAGAAAATCCTTACCTGCGTCGACACTTCTTTTTGTAAAATATAACTTCAGAAAATGCGAGCTTTCTCTTCATTTGTAACGTTTTAATGAAAGCTATCCTTTTATGTCGTTTACCTTTGCAGCTTAACGTCCGAGGTGATACCTGCGACACTTGTAAACCAGGATCTTTCAATTTGCAAGAGGATAATCTCGATGGCTGTACACCATGTTTTTGCAATGGAGTTTCTGACAGCTGCCAAAGCGCTATGCTAAATAAAACTCAGGTTAGCAACTCATGCGTTCATTGTTACGGAGCAGTTGTAGACAAAATTGAAAATAAGAGTATTGAAAGCCAAGAGTAGGTTTTGAATGTTGAAGCTGTGGTTGAATTTTTAGAAGAGCAGTTTTAGGACTCCTTCAAGCTACAGTAACGGTCAAATTAAGAGATTTTGCATGTATTAATACATCTGAGAAATGCAGCAAAAGCAACATATGATGAAATTAACCAAAGAATACACTTTTTAGCTTGTGGATATTCTTATATGACTGTTCATTACAAGCTGCTACTGCTGTATTGTTATAGTATCTGGTTCGTTTAAAACATTTAAAACGCAACAGCACGGAAACACTACATTAGAAATACAGAGCGATACACGTCCTTTTGTTTTTTTCAGATACGTTCTACCTTCTCGGTGGATGATCAGAAGAATTTTACTCTTGTCACATCTGACAGTTCCCCAATAAACTCTTCAGATCTCTTCGTTAATCCTCTAACAAAGGAACTGACTTTTCAGTCGTTTGTGGAGGACGACGTTCAGGAAGAGATTTTATACTGGAAGCTGCCCCAAGAATACACAGAGAATAAGGTGAGTTTTGAAAGACTTTTTAAGGGGAGTTGTGTCGCATAGAGTTACTAGATGTAGACAAACTTTTAAATTACCTCACATTTTTGTTTACAGCTGACGTCATACGGTGGTTTTTTTAGCTTTGTTGTCTCACACGAGGCAAGTTCTGATGGAGAAACACTATACGCGCCAGATATCATCTTAATTGTGAGTAACAGCAATAAGTATTATAGAGTGGTTTATCTATTCAAGAAGTCATAGCCTCCCAGGCAAAATGATGAAATTCGGTATTATTTTTTCATTGTTATCATTATTGTTATTATTATCATTATTATTATTATAGTTATTATTATTATTATTATTATTATTATTATTATTATTATTATTACTATCTCTTCTATCACAGTCTTTGCTGGTATTCTTTTTGTGCATCAGCCGGGCGCAAACCATGCACCTAAGGCATCAGTCACTCAAAGCACCTTTCTGGGGATTCGCGCAGATCCCAACTGCTTTTGATACTTTCTATGTGTTTTCCACTCTCCCCTTCTTTACTGTACCAAGCACGCAAACAACCACAGGGATCACTACGGTTCTCATATGCCACATTCTCTGTATTTATTATAATAATTATCATTATTATCTATTATTATTGTTATCATTATTATTATCATTATTATTGTTATCATCATCATTATTGTGATTATTATTGTTGTTATTATCTATTATTGATAATAGAGTCCCACGCGGTATTAAGAACATTGTAATTGACATCCAAACAACAGAAAGTGCCATGTCCATTGAATTTTAGACTTACATTATTTTATATGTTCCTTTCTTTATTATTCTATTCGTAAATATTGACCTTTACACTATTTATCGTTCACAAGTATTTGAAAGCTTGAATTCTAAATAATTGCTTTTTATTGTGATAATTTTACCAATGAAGTCTTATTTTGCCTTAGCTATGCAAGTTCATCTGAGTTATGATACATTTTTGTACATAAAGCACGATTTTTTTCCTTCTATATTCATCTGTGAATATTTTGACTAAGTTGTGAATAAAGCGTTATTATTATTATCATTATTATCTATTATTGTTATTATTTTTTTTAGGGAAGAGACATAACACTTCATCACTACAAACGTAGTCCTACCGGAAACGATCGGGCAGGAGGTTACCAAGTTATATTTGAAGAGGTTTGAGGCTCAATCCCTTCATTCTCTCCTGAATTTCTTTCTAATTTACTCGATATGAAATTAAAGAAAAGTATTATTGAAATTAAATCTTACTCTTTCAGAATTCCTGGATTGACAACACCAATAGAGAGATATCACGAAACCAACTTATGAAGGCTTTGCACCATATTGAGGCACTTTTGATCAGAGCTTCTTATAATACTCAGATGCTTCAGACAACGTAAGATGAACAAAATGTTTGCCATTTTTTAGTTATTCGTTTGTATTCACGATAATTACCCTTGCAAGCCTCGTTAACAAGTGAAAAATTAACAACTGAGCTTAAGAAAGTTCAAGTTGCGTTTCTGTAAATAGTAAAGGTTTTGCATGAGCTATTCTTTCAAAAAACATTTCCATTTTTATAAATGGTTATATCTTTGATTCATAATTTTAGAAATATTGGATGGTGGTATGAACCGTAATCTACAAAATAGTTTTTTCATATTGACACGAGCGTCCCTAACGATTTCTGATTTCCCATCCTTTGAAAGAGCCACCTGTAGAATTCTTATGGACAGAAATCAAGTCCAGAACTGAATTTCAATTTTATATCCTCACTCCTTTCTTTGATTGTTAATGTTTTGTAGCCTTCGTGAAGTTTCCATGGACACTACAACTAATGCCGTCACTAATAAGCCTCGTGTTAGCTCGGTTGAACAATGTGTATGTCCAGCAGAGTACCAAGGTTTATCCTGTGAGGTAGGTTCGACTCACTTTATTTCTATCCCTCCGTGAAAACTGGTCACACAATCCTTGATATTTACTCTGAGTTCTCACGAATGGCATATTTCTTTTGTTTTTTTCAACCGTTTCATCACTGATAACTATGTATTCAATGAAAACTGTTCTTTCTTACGTTCACCAGTCGTGTAAAGCAGGTTACTATCGATCACGTGTTGGTCCACACCTTGGCAAGTGCATAAAGTGTGATTGTAACCGGCACTCACTTGATGACTACTGTGATCCTGAAACAGGAGAATGCAAGGTGAGCCAGTCCGACGTAACGTGTTGCTTATTACCCAGTGACTGGACATATTATATTTCTTAACGTTTACTCTAACAGAATTGCCAGCACAATACGGAAGGGTTTCGCTGTCATAAGTGTGTGACTGGTTTCTATGGAAACGCAACAATTGGCCAACCATCAGATTGTAAGCCTTGTCCTTGCCCAATGACGTCGCCACCAAACAGGTAAGAAGAGCGAAATTAACCGAACTTCTCATGACACTCGAACCCTCGAAAACGTGTGCCCTGAACTGAATTGAAACAACATCGACTTCTCCTGGACTTCCGTCATACAATTACTGAAAAATCCACCGTAACTCGAAACATTTAATAACTCGAACATTACGCTAACTATGAGCTGTTTACTTTTCCTTTCCGGTCATGTCTTTTATAAATCAACCCTTCATAACTCGAACCAGGTTTGTCCTAACGAGTCAAACAAATAGTATTGTAGTCTAAAACATTGAAAATATTTTTAGAAGCCGTGCATTATTTTTCTATTTTACGCGAACTTTGCCAGCAGTTTAGAATACGTTAAATTGCAATGCATTGTATCTTCATTCTTTGAACGTTTTCATTACATTTGAATTATTTTCCAGGTTTAGTCCCACGTGTTTCATGGCAGAGGATAATGAACCGACCTGCGATGCATGCCCACCAGGATATGGGGGTAGAAAATGCGACAGGTGTGTTAGAAAGAAGAAAGTTCCTGTACTTACTTTATATAACTTGTCACTTCTCATGAAGCCTCAAACGATTAAGTAACCTCTCCAAACTTGTAGTAAAATGTCAGATAAAGGTCAAAATTTACATTTTGTCCATCCTCTTTCCCTCCATAAATGTTATTGTTTAGGGTTCAGAAGTATGAGCGAATGCTGCTTTATAAATAAGTGGTGACATTATTGATTTATGTCCACGATCGATGTCATTTGCCTGCGTTTTAACACCATTGCTTCCCAACGTTCTTCGATCAGTTCTAGTCAACCAGTCATTTTCGTGCTTCAAATATAAAATCCCTTTCTTTCATGCCCAGTGAGCTCTTTTCCCCTCCCCCTTTCTCGAGTCCAGTCTTCGATCCTCCCGTGGATCCCGAACACTGTCTGGTTATCAACCAATAAACAGTTTTCAGTTTAAGTGAAAATTTTTAATAAACATATTCCCATTGTTTGTAGGTGTGTTGAGTCCTATGTTGGAAATCCAACCGAGCCAGGAGGAAAATGCAACTTAGGTGAGAATTTGCCAGATTTTGATTTTATCTTAAGTGTTCCTATATCAGATATATCTGCAAAGTCGATGCAACACTTAAAAGTTTGGAATATTTGTCCCGAACATACTTTTTTAAATATACTACATTACAAGAGATGTTAAAGGCTTACATCTTGTTTTTTTTAATACCTTTATAATACCGGATAAGTTATTTTTATCATTTCAATTAGGATTTCTCTCTCACTCTTTTTAATTAATTTTTTGCAAATTTGGAAGTCGACTGTAGATGTGATGTTCGTGGTTCGATCAACAGTTCTTGTGATCCTATTACCACACAGTGCTTTTGTAAGGTGGGTGATGAAAGCTAAAGTATATATCTGAGTAGCCCGCGTAGTCAGAACTAAATGTGCGCCTTAAGCAATGAGCCACCAAGCCGCGAGAGCGGAAAAAACCTTTATCACTATCTTCCGTTCCGAGCCTCCCGCGGCTTTGCAACTCGTTTTCAAGGCCCCCACCGCTTAGCGCATCTACGTACCTACAAAACTGCCAGTTACGCCGGGTATACTAAGAGGCGACTTGTCTTATATGACAGTAATGAGTATAAGGAGCAGAGCTAGACTTTTTTTGTCCGAGTCGTCACGATTTCATTACGTCATTAGCGCACAACGTTAGTGCTGAGCTGTATCCAACCTCAAATTTCACTTTTCATCTGGAAACCGTTACATTCGGCACGCGACTTGCGTCCGAAGTCACAGTTGACAGTTTAGTAAGTGGCGATATGCTCTGTTGACCTATAGTGTCAAAAAAGAGTTTTAAAGTGTCTCAATGACGCTCGCGCACTTTTTAATTCAGTGCACTGGTTTTACAGTAGTTGTGTCAGGAATTTCATTGTAGATGAAAACAAAGAGGTAATGAAATTTATTATTAACTCATCGTTTTCCCGTTCCATTGGCCCTTCCTTAGCATGTCAGCGTACTTTCTGGTGACATTCTTTCTTAAATTGGAACTACTTATACGGCGTTCAAACCCGTTAGAAGGTAGCTATAAGAAGAATTTGAAGTCCTGTAATTTAATTATATATGTGAGTTTTCGCGTGGTGACTGACCTCAAGCACATACCGACTGCCGATCTCCCAAACCTGACCTGATCTCAAATCTGTAAAAAATATTTTGTCTGTTCGATTTAAAAATAGCGCCAAATATAGATTACTCTCTTCCTTTCCTTCTTCGATCCCGCTGCGTATCGGAGATTTCTGTCCATCTAAACAGTGTTCGTTTTGTGATCAACCAAGCTTCAGAAATTAAAAATGTCGACGATATGATTTAAGAAATTAGCGCAACACGAACTGCCAGCCTTTAAGGTTTTTTTTTTTTTACTTTTTTTTTTTCGACTAGACAACTGTGACTCGCTCGTCAAAACGACTTTCGAGAAATTAGCATTTTGACAGTGCGTAAAGTTTGCCTCTCATCCATGCATCCTTGTTATCGCAATCTTTGCTGTGAGGAGGGGTAATTTGCGTCTTCCGTACCTGATAATCTTTGACAGGCAGATATAGTTGTAAGTAAATAATCCAGGTTTCTGTTGGTTTAAGTTCGGGTTTCTTTTGTTACGTCCCATAAACTTTCATCCAAGACGTGACCCGAGGAAGTTGTAGACACAACAAACGGTATCTTTGCGAATTTTTTTTCAGCTATTTTCGTCATCGTGTATCATTGTATGGGTCTCCCTTCTCCAGGTCACAAATGTTTTACGGTAAATTGCATGCCTGTTATTTCTTCCGATTAGCATTGCTGTTCTGTTTTTAATAGCCGCAGATTTTTAGCACTTGAGAATCCTTCATTAAATGGCATTCGCGTTTAAAATTCTGTTATACACAATAGAACGTAATTTCTCTGACTTTCGCTTTGGTTCTTGCTTAGTGTTAGACAACATACCTGGTCTGTAAGAAAAGCACCACTAAAAGGTAGATAAATATTGGTCTGTTGTAAGCAAAACAGTGCATTGTCTTTCTTTTCAAATTGTCAATTTATAATGTGATCACTTTAGTGAAAGTATGTTAGTTGTGATAAGATAGGAGGAGAGCAAAATTCCTCAGGAGCGACAGAAGTTGTCATTCCTATACATCGAAATATCAACTTCCTGAGTAACCGGACGTTCCCACGATCCTTGCTTTGAAAGAAGTCTATTTTGGCTAGAGTGAAACCACGCATTGTAAATTACTTTTCGGGAGTGTGGAGAGGGTTGTCTAGATTTTTGAATTTTGAATTTTGAATCACTCTTTTTCGTGAGCGTGGTCAAGTTAGGAGGGTTATTGATAACCTTTCCATCATTAATCTGATCTAGTTATTGAAAGTTACTCATCTAAAACTCTTCTCAAGCTGTTCTTAAAAGAAAGTTATTTTTTAACGCTGTGGATAATTTTACGTAATGTATATCGATACGTAAACTGAACGAAAGTTTCTTTCAACTCGGTTTCCTTCTGACTTTGTCTCGTCGGGCGCCTTGTTGTGCAAAAGAGGTGCGAAGATGCCGACAACGTAACCAGATCATCACTTATCTTGCGGGCTTTTATCAGGGAGACAGAACATGGCAAGATCCAAAAGTTGTCGGATTGGGTTTCAATTGACACTTTCCTCAATTGTTATGCTCATCAACTGCGACAGGATTTGAGAATCTTTCGGTTGATCAAATCATTCCCAGCTTGAACTCCATTACAAGGAACCGAGTTCTCCTACAGAGCCTCTAAAAATGATCTTTCGGATTGTAATCTTGAGTGTCATCTAGTCGGCTATCTGTCCTAAAGACCGTTTGGGAAATCTTCCGAAGGAAAGCTGCTTATCCATCAAGCCATAGAATGAATCAGTATTTCTTTCCGATTACTGCTGCATTCCTGCATTTTCTGATCTGGATTTCGCCCATTTCATCTAGGGTAAGCTTTGCCACTTATTGATAGATTAGCCCTACTAAACCTAAAGCTATGTTTCTGAAACAACAAGTGGTACGGTAAAATTTGTACAACAGATACCTATTGGATTTTGCAAATTAAAGGGGCATCTACAGCTGTTCAATATTACAGTCTAAAAGGGTGTTCCGACTGCATGGATGTTTTATGTAATTTAAATAGGGTTTTTCTTCTTACACCATTCGAGGAGCTGTTCTTACGCAGGCAGGGAAGATTAAGCTTTTAATTAAAACCCGTATGTGCCCACCCAGACAGAGGTTATTTCTCAAACAGATGCGATAATTTTCATATTCATCGTTTACTTTCTTGCCAAATTAGGGAAAGCTACGTTGTGCTTATGTCTCTCATTTAAGTTTTGAACTCTCCCCATGGAGATGAATGGTTGTAATTTTTTATTAGTGAAGTATGCGTGCTCCATTCAAAGTGACCTTTCACCTGCTTGGTTCTGTCAGTTTAATGAACTGAATGGAAGAAAAATCAGACTTTTTGCCAAAATATGTTTATTTTGTAAAATTAGCCATCACTTCCTCTTTGCTATGGCATTCCATTTTCCGTGTGCCCTATGGATCTCTTACGGACCCCTTCGTCTCTGTTTTATGTAAATATTTTTGTACGCTCACATATCCTATTTTCTTTTCGCATTTTATCAGTCTCTGATTTTGCAAAGAACTTGAGCTTATGCTCAATGATTGCCATTTCGCAGAGGCCAAAATAAACCCAGTATTGTGACATAAGCTTATCTTACCACCCGACAGAGCCGACATGTTGTTAATGGGAAGTGCTCGTGCATTATCGTTTACAATGTTGAGTGCCTTGTGACATATGACAGAGTAATGAAATAGTTTAGTAGACGACGCTTCGCTGTTCCTGGAGAAACCGTATGCTACAACTAAATGACAAGATCAACAATAATTACGAGGAGTTCTAGTCTATTTAAAGCAACATCTGCTGAAGGCAACATACACTCTGGTTTGATGTAATTTTTTAGTGGATATTTACAGGAGCCAAATCTCTTTTTGGTCCCAAATTGGATATAGATCAAATATCAGTTTTCCAAGGCAAAAGCAAAGCCGGCAGCATCAGTTTTCTTTCCATCAGAGCCCGAAGGCTATCCTTGAAACAACAAACTAATCGTCTTGGGACCGTCTTCTTAACGATGTTTTATAATAGGATGAAAATATGCTGATGCTTTAAGATCTCAAACACGAAAGGTGACTTCAATTGGCGTCAAATGATGATTTTGAGAGCCAGGTGCTAACTGATGGCTCATAGTAGGTCATAGTACTGTGTCAAGTACAACCGGAGTCTAAAGAGTAGAGAGAGGCGACTATTTTATGTTACAAGATCGATGACTGTTTGACTCTTAGCCGCGAAGATAGACTGGTTCCTTAATATAAATGATCCTTAGTTTCTCAAGATCCTACAAAGATCAATTGATTCATGTTTTTTTAGTAATTTTAATGTAGAGCCCAAGATGTCACGCAATATATTTCCCCCGATCTCACTCTTACACAACCAACAAGGCGATGACCACGCGGAATGGTTTCGGCCACATATACAGCTACTTTTATACACACGTGATTTAGAGACAGCCCTCAAGTGGATCGATCACTTGATGACATCGTCTTACTTCATCTCTAAGACGGGCTAAATTTGGAACGCTCTCGAATTTTAAAGTAACTTGTATGTGTCGTATGGCTCCACCATTCTATCAGAAAGAAGAAAATCAGAGAAAAACATAGGAACATTTCCACTGCAGTTGTGGTGTCCTTGCTGAAGGTTTTTTTTGTAGATTAAAGAAGTGAACTTAACACTGTCATCAAGTTATTTCCAATTGTTTTGAACAGCATAGTCAACATTACAGAACATTTAGAACAGCTAAAATTCTATCAGCTGTGGATAGTTAATGTCAAATGAAATAGCGCAATAACCTGACTAATGTTAGATTGCATAACCGACGTATAATCACCATCTTTGCAGCGTAATTTTGCTAGAATTTATATATAGCAAAATGTCAAATGCAAAGATGGCGATGATGTATTCATGCAATTATTACTCACCTCCTGTCTCCATAGAAACATGTTGAAGGAAGAAAGTGCGACAGCTGTAAGCGATCCTTCTTCAACTTGCAGTCGGACGATCCTCAGGGATGTGTGCCTTGTTTCTGTTTTGGAGTGTCTGCTGATTGTAAATGCGCTGATTATTATAAAGACACAGTAAGTAAATGACGACTGTTACCGTACCCAAATTTGCAGTTACCCAATCAAAAGCTAGAAATTAAGAATATTTCTAACATCACTGAAAGGCTTCCCACTCACTTTCGCTATAAAGTAGCCGAATGAGGCATCTCGGAAATAGCCTATTGCTTTCAAAGTTTGAAGATTAAAGTGATCTTCGCAGTAAAGAACACTACTTAAGCTCTAGCTAAAATAAAACCTAGGAAAAATTCACGCTCGTACGGAAGTTGAACCCATGACCTCTGCGACACCGGAGCAAAATTCTCTTCCAACTGGGAGCTGGTCATTTTGTTGGTTCGTAATAAACCCTTGATGTGATGAATAAATGACTACGATACCGATGGCTTGTTAGCTCAGTTGGTAGAGCACTCCATCTGAAAGCTGGTCATTGTTTTGGTTCTTAATAACCCCGTGTAGAGATGAATCAGGACGACTGTAAATATATGAATAACGTATATTTGAACTGCGGATAAAAAACTGAAGATGAGAGCGATCTTCGCAGTAATGAAGACTACTAGGCAGTAGTGAAAATAAAACCTGGAGAAAATTCAGGCTCGTCTCGGAGTCACACTCGTGACCTCCACGATACCGGAGCTTAAAAGGTTGGCGTCAAAACTTCCACCTATCATTCATGGTCTATTTTATAATTCCCTCAAGAAGCCATTTAAGAAAAGTCCCGTTTGAAAAAGGAGTTGAGAATTAGGAATATTAAGCCTCTCAAAAGATTGCCTCTCTCGAGGCGGTTTGTTTCATACCCAAGGAAGAGATGGTTCGGTGACAATTTGAAAAAATTTAAAACTGGCGAAATCTTGATGGAAAATTCTTTCAGAAAACAATTTTTTCGTACCTTATTGCACCAAGCGTGGCAAATGTTTTCAGTTCCTGTAATTTGGTAATGTCCTAATAACACTTCAAATTTGTATTTCAGATTCCCTTGCGTATCGCTTTACTGGATGGCCCAAACTACTTACGTCTCTCGGACTTATCACGGGACTCAATGATAAATTCTGGCTATGAAATAGAGGGTGATCCGGGACATTATGTCTATGACTTTGGCAAACCACCGGTAATTACCTATTACTGGTTTTTGGGAGAGGAATTTAGAGGTGACATGGTAAGTTCACTCTGCAGCTTCCTCGAGTCTCCTTTTCCGTGACTTGTTAGCGACGAAGGCGACCCACCTCTCTAATTGTTTCAAAAGCTCGCTGTTCGCGTTCACTTGATAATGTGACAATGCTTTTGTTTGACCTAGGGAAATTCCTACAATAAAAATATTAGGCAGAATGTTTTGCAATCCATTTTCCGCCTCAATAAAGTTTTTTACTGGTAAGTATCAAAGGAAAATTTACTGACTTCTTGATTTGTTTAGATCACAAGCTATGACGGTATATTACGATACACAGTGTCGCATGAAATGCAGCCAGGTGGTGAGCTGACTTCTGCAACTGACGTCCAATTGAGGGTATTAATTGAATTTTAATACACCAATTAGTGGTGCTGTCATTCGGAACTTTAACACACCAATTAGTGGTGTTGTCAATCGGAACTCCGCATGCTATTGATTCTTGAAAGCTGTGTAAGGTCACTTGACGTTTAACCTAAATCGTTATTCTCGAGCTTGTTTTGTTTGTCGGTCTAGTTTCGAAAAATTTTATGCTGGAAGTATATGTTTATTGTCTTGCGCTTTTAGAAAAATCAGGTTACCGTAGCTACTGGTGTAATTTCATGCGTTGTGCAGAAATGTCAAACGTTTCTTGCGACAATTATTATTGAAAAGTTTTCTCTTTTTGAGGGGGGGAGGGGCTGGTAGTGCTGCGTGAAAAGTTGCACTTACCGGCAAACAAAGATAAGAAAGAAATAACGAGAAAGAGAGAAATTAATTGGTCGATATATTGCCATTGTTATGAATTATTTCTAATATGGGCCGCACAACTTCAACTCAGTAAAAAACTATAGAAGAACACCCGCTACTTTTGAGTGCACTATAGGGCTTCTTTTTCTAATTCATTTTAATTTGCTTCGATGATGTTTTTTGCCAATTTTTTGTTAACAGGGTAGAGGGATAGTTCTAATATTTCATCATAGGAGAAGACTTAAGGCAGGGGAAAAAGAGACATTCGGCCTCAAACTGTCAGAGGTGAGGAGTTACTAAAACTTCATATAGCATTGTATTCCATTTTTCGACACTGAAGGCAATCTGGTGTGTTCAGTTATATCCGAACGAACCAGTTGCTCTGATTCATCGGGTTTGTCATCAATTAAAAGTGTTTAATGTTAAAGATATACTATTTTGCCAACAACAACTAGGTAAAAACTAACCTCTTTCCTGTATAAGTCAAATAACTTGCTTTATTATAAAAATTACAATGTCCTCGATTGTGATGGGTTTAAACAACTCTCATTTTCTACTACTTCACTCACCAAGTTCATGGCTAAAAATCAACTCCAGTACTTGGTGGCCAGTCGGACCAGTTTCCTTGATTTCTTAGTGGCCCATCCCAAAATGAAGTAGCCCTCGATTTCCTCTAGTTTAAAATGAAAACTTGAATAAACGCCCCATGGCTTTTAACGGAGCGTTAACTAAAAGGAAAGAACACAAAAGTCCAGAGTCACGTGGCAATCACAAAATCAAAATGGAGTCTATACCTTGTGAATGTGTATCACTCGTGAAATCACTGTTAAAACGGCTCGGAATTTCCACTTCAGAACTAAAAATTTACTAAAATGGATGATCTTAGAGTCCAGGCAAAGAAACGAAGAGAAAGGTAGTCCAATTGAATTACATATTGAGTTTTATTTTTAACTTTGTACTTCGCATAATTTAAATTGCAACTTTTCGAAATTCTGTAGCATAGTCGCACATCAGGCGTTCAAACCTTAACTTTTAGTGGTCCTGGTCAGGGCCTATTAAGCCTATCACATTCAAAGTTGTAGTTTAAATCAACCAATCGTATTCAAAGTTGTAGTTTGAATCAACCAATCACAACCATGGTTTCAATCACCATAGAAACAGTGTAAAGACTCATAAACTCCTAAATTTCAGAACGACTTCAAACAATTTAGGCCTCCTTTGTTAGTCTTTTTATGAAAATTTTCCCTTTCTTTCGGCTATTCTTCTTTTCTCGGAAATCATAATTTTTTTTTTTCACGATTAATTGTAATAAGACTTCGTGTCATCCAATCCGGTCTGTAATCATACTCGTGATATACAGATCGGACTTCCGCTGCACGGTCGTCCGATTTTGTTACCACTCGTATGATAACAGACAGCATTGGACTCCACTCAGTTCTATTACCATTACCAATCATGCAGGATTGGCTGAGGTACCCGGATAACGCAGAAACGACCAGAAATACTGTGATGACGGTTTTGTCCGCCGTGGATAGCATCTTAGTCCGTGCGACATACAGTACAACTACTACAAAAGCTAGGTCAGAATTTAATTACTTTAACTACAATATATCTCATTTGATTCTGCCACAATATGATCACCTCTAATTTTACACCATCCAGTGTAAAAATTCATATTTACAGTACTAATATGGCTCACATTCAATGTTTACATTACTACTTAGTGCAACAAAGACTTACGGAACTAGGATTGCATGCAATGTTATGTAAAGGTTCTTTGGCGATTTGTGTTAAAACTTTTTTTCTTCCTGTATGTAACCTTGTATTTATGATTTAAACCAGACCACTAACGTTATCTTTATTTTGTTTGCATCAGTCTTTACGGAGTCAAAGTGGAGACAGCTGTCCCTCAAGTAACGAGATTTAGAAAAGCTGAGAAAATTGAACAATGCAGATGTCCACCAGAGTACACTGGAACATCTTGTCAGGTAATCTTGCAGGCTTACAATAGGATATAGTTCTGTCGAATCCTTTTGCTAAGCGTCAGATAATTCCAGCAATCTTCGGTTGGAAGAACTTTGTAAGTATTATTTTGTTGTTTCGAATTCTGAAGACGCATTATTATTTGGTTTAGCTTCTTTCTGATTTTTGAAATGAAATTCGGTCCTCGATTTTTCAAACTTGTATCGAATAGTTTTCACCCCTCAGTGGAAGTTGAAAAGCGAGCTTTTACTTCGGAATATCTGTAGAGGGCTTTCCATTATATTTTTAAGTGCAATGGTATAATACGAAAACCTGGAAAATGTCCTGTGAAAACGTTACGTAAATCCTTCCCCATGAACACGATGAAGTGCGGTCATAAGTTCATGACAGTTTTTTGGTTTCATATCATTTTATAGCGTTGTGCTCGTGGATACACACGGACTTACCCAGGCCCGGATTTCTCCCCTTGTGTTCCATGTTCCTGTAATCAACACTCAAAAGAATGTGATCCAGAGACAGGACAATGTGTAGTGAGTAAATACTACAAAAGGGACTGGGAATTACGTGAAACTGCAAGGCCCCAATTTTACTCCTGTACATGCATATTCTAATATGAAACAACAGATCGGGGAGAGGTTTATTCTTACAACTGCAAAGGCTATAAATATTTTCATAAGATCAGTATGAACTGAGGAGGAAGTCCAAACCCTCAGTGCACTAATTAGTGCACAAACCTCTCGGCCGTCATTTCTCATTTGATCATGTATGATTGATAACTGTTAGAGCTAGTGTAGCAAGAAGGGGATTTGTATATCTCAAAATTATTTTTTGTCAGAAATGTGATCACAATACCGCAGGCTCCAGGTGTGAGACATGTGCAATTGGTTTCTATGGCGACGCGACTAAAGGCACGCCTCAAGATTGTCAACCGTGTTCATGCCCTTTAACAGTCTCTTCGAATCAGTGAGTAAATAAGTGAATTTTAAAAAGATTGGTTCCGGTTATATGCTTTTTTCATAGCTGATTTGCTCTTTTAAACAGGTTCAGCAAGACCTGCAAGATAGAATCAGATGGTCTACCTGCCTGCACTGGCTGTCAAACTGGTTATACAGGAAGAACATGTAATAGGTAAAGTCGTCTTAACCGCAAACGTTTCAGTTACACTTTTGAAATCAACTTGCTTCGTTGAAACTACGTTGTTGTTACATGAAAACCACGGTGTGAAATGCATGATTATGCAGATGGTTTTCTAGTGATGTTGACATAGCAGACTTCGTTTTTACTTTGTGTTGTGATTGTTGTAATATCAAGTTTATGCTGTTTAGATGTGCAAAGGGATATTCTGGGGATCCCAACAAACCTGGCAGAAAGTGTATCAAGCTACCAGGTGAGATAAATTGAATCCATCGTTGTAATTTAGATGCTACGCATGAGTTCATTGTAAACAAGAATACAATGGACTGATTGCTCTCATTTTTGGGTTTAAAAATTGTAATGGAAACTTCTGACTGGACGAGAAATTTCCTTTAAGGTGAAGGTATCTGCGTGGTAATTTCTGCTCAGAGTATGATTAAGAATTAGTATGCTTCTCAAGAAAAATGATATGTACCTCACTTGGAAAGCTTTTGATTGTCTCTGTCAGCAACTTTCTATTGCTTGCTTCCGTAGTAACAAGGTGGATATTCCTTGAAATCTCGGTTTAGATAAATACCTAAACAATGAACATTAAATGTCCCTTAGATCAAATAATGACAGTTTGCCGGACCATTCTTTTTTTTTAAGCGGAATTCTTACCAAGTGTTATGATCAGGCCAATGAAAAGAACAAAGACAGAGGGAGATGATGTTAGGTTTTACTGCTTTGCCAAGGCAAAGCAACAACCACTAATAAGTTGGTCTCGAGGAAATGGAAAGACCTTACCCAGCAGGGCTGTTGTGTCTGGAAAAATTCTGTTAATTAGTAAAATAAGGAAAGAAGACGAGGGTGACTACGAGTGTACTGCGAGAAACATATATGGCTCCGAAACTGGTTCAACACAGCTGAGAGTACAAGGTTAGATACTTAAATTATTTTTTATGAGAGCCTAGAATGGAAGGATATTGTTGAGAGGAACCGTTTGTATATGAAATCGCATGGGCCCGGATTAATTTCACGCGTATTATTAACGTTTTCCCAAAATGTTTGAGGGAATCGCATTCGCACACGATATCCGCGCGACTAAGCCCTTTCAATGCCGCCACAAAAGTCAAAACAAACATAGCTGACCAATAGATTCAACGTACATTTTATTCTCAAAAAACAGTTAACAACGTTACACGGCTTCATCCAGTCAAGTTGCAAAAAGGCTCAATCAGTATCAAGTAATCATGCCCTCTTGATTACTAAAGGTGTCCTTGTGATCAAGAAAAATTTCCCTCTGTTTCAGTCAATCAGCATTCAGTAATATTGCCCAGCATGTGATTTATGACGAAGTAACGAGTTCACTTTAGGGTTGATCTCCTCGCGATTCCTTTTCTCATTACAACTCTTTTGTTGAGTATCGAAGTGGCTTCTTGTTTTTCATCAAAATGTAATGAAAGTGATTTTTACATAGCCCTTTTAGCATTCATCTGTTAATGTCTTCTATGTGAGCGTCAACCCTGTTGAAAATACAAAGTAACCATTACTTGATCGTTGTTCTAAATGTTAGGGAAGATGGTTATATTTACCTTTCACTGACAACCTTTATTGTGTCCTTAAATTAGCTCGCCGTGTGGATCCCATAAGCGTAACAGTTTCACCAAAAGTCCTTCATGTTCTTTTGGACCAAAAAGCGCAGTTCACGTGCAGAGCAAAAAGTGTGACCGAGTACACTTTGCAATGGACTCAGGGCGTGAATGGAGCACTTCCCAAAGGGGCCGAGAATGAAAATGGTGTTTTGACGATCGAACATGCCCGGGCCATCCATGGAGGATCGTACACATGCACCGGTAAAAATGCCAACAACGAAGATATGGTGACGGTACAGCTGAGAATAGGAGGTAAGGGTGATCCACTTGGTTGCATGACTTCGGATATTTTGTAGTCTGTATGAAACTACTTCGTTTTTCTTTTTCAGTGACAAAGCCTCAGGTCCTCATAAGCCCTGCCAGTTTGAGTGTGCAAGAGGGAGACTCCGCTCAATTTCGTTGCTCTGCGTCGGGTTTTCCAGCTCCTGAACTTCAGTGGCATGGTGGTCCTGGCGGTGAATTGCCACCGGAAGCGAGTACAGCCAATGGTAACGGGCTTTTGATATTTGATGCCGTGAAAAAAATTCACGAAGGAGAATACTTTTGTACAGCTTCCAATTTGGGAGGGATCTCCAGCACTGGAACATTCCTGAATGTCTCAGGTATGACGGCATTTTCAACTAGATTAGATTCCATTTTCCCACTGTGACAGTTCCTCTTTACCTTTTTTTTTTTTTTGGTATTTTCGTAGCTCCTGGTACTGCCCCTATCATTTCGGTCGAGCCCAGTTCGCTGACTGTTTTGGAAGGTGAAGAAGCCTCGTTCCAGTGCTCGGCGATAGGGGACCCAAAACCCACAATTCGATGGTCACGTGAGAAGGGCCAGCTTCCTCCGTCCTCTACCTCTTCAAATGGTTTTCTACGCATTTTCCCCACAAAGCTTGAAGACGGAGGTGATTACGTTTGTACAGCGGCTAATACAATTGGAGTGGATGGATATTTGGTGACTCTCACTGTGGAGAGAGGTAAAGTGATTACCACCAGGATTAGCCTGTGATGCTGCCTTTTTTAAAAAGAGGTAGATGCGTGAGCTAAACAGAGTCGCACAAAGGCATATAGCGAGAGATAGTGAAAAAAATTAAGAGTCCTACACAGTTCCTTACATGATCCCTGAACCGCGACTGATTCCAGACTGCAAAGGATTCCCAAACTGAAGCATATAATACCAGTCCATAATTCAAATATAACAAATATACGTTGAAAACAGATACTACAGACTTGTTTTTTACTCGAGTCAGTTATGATTTAAGACAGTTTTTTTTCTAATGATTTGTCGACGGGAAAGCCGAGAAGACCAGCAAATGACGTTCAGAAAAGTACGCAGGTAAAATAAGGAAATGAGTAAGTCAATTTGTGCTGTCCGATCTGTGTTGTACCAAGTTAAGTCTAATTAAAGAGAAACATTTACCGAAAACCAACTGATTGGTCATTGGAAGCGACGAATGGCGGAGAATTCTTCGAAGTCGAAAAATTCTTTTAGCAGACAATATTGTACCAACCATTTTTGTGAACCTTATCATGCTTATCTGGCCAAAAAGCCGCCATGTTTACCACAAGTCAAGAAGTTGTTTCCAGTCCTCTCATGTTTAGTTCGGGTAACTTAAGTTGATCTTCCCGCCACTTTTTACGTGTACGGTTACCAGTAATTCACCGGTCATTCCGTCTGACGGAATCGGGGTCTCGAATAACATTAAAGCGATTCTATTTAGCCTCCTTAAAAGACAACTTGTTAAAAGATAAAGATTGACGCTCACTCAAGTCACACGTAGTCTCAAGGTTTTATCTTTTTTTAGATACCTCCGTCCCTCCAACTGCGTTGGTGTCACCGGCAAATCAAACTGTCCTTGAAGGTTCATCCACCAGCTTATCATGCCAAGTGACAGGAGATCCTTATCCCTCCCTACAGTGGAGGAAAGTTGGTGGCGAGTTACCGGACAACCACTCCATTATTGGTGGATTATTGGTGATCTCAGAAATAACAAAAGAGGATGAGGGCATGTACCTATGCTTGGCTCAAAACAAGAAAGGTGTCAAACAAGTAACGGCTTTTATTAACGTCAGAAGTAAGTAAACAGCTCAACAATTGATCTTGGTGTTGGGAAGTAACTCTGAACCTCCCGTTTAGATATTTCGAAATATATATTTATCGAGTTATGACAACCTAAGCATTACTCGATATCAATAATGGGACGTCAAAGAGCTTAGTATTTGTTTTGCAATTAAGAAAGGAAGGTTATGTCAGGTCAGGTGACCTGTAGTTATTTTTTCTTTGCCGGTATGATGCGACCAAACATTGCTCAGGTTAGGTTACAAGTGATTAAGCATTTTTCTAATGTTGTTCGTTCATAGAATTGCTCTATTGATGGTACCACAACTCTCTTGATGGAATAAATTATATCTGTTTTCTGTTTTCCATAAACTTATCCTAACGACGCCTTTTTTTTCTGAACAACTGATTAAGGCGCGGCGCTAATGGTTTGTCATATTTACTTCAGGTAAAGTGTTGCCAAAGATAGAAATCATGCCGGCGAGAAGGTTAACCGTCAGTGGAGGAGAAACAGTAATTTTCAGGTGTGTTGTTAAAGCTGGTAATCCTCCCCCTGCGGTGGTGTGGGAAACAGAAGAGAGTCAACCGTTGAACAGTAGCGATGATGGAGTGTTGGTGATCTCTCCAGCAAACGGTAACAGTCAGGGAAAGTACATTTGCAAGGCCACAAATGTAATGGGATCTACTGAAGCTGTTGCTCTGCTGATTGTTCAAGGTAATCAGTGTTAATATGGATCATTGCTATCCTTTCAGTCTCGTAAGCAAAGGGAAAGGTTTGGCTGGAACTGAATACTTTCCATATTAGGTGGATGCGATATGTCGCATATGTTATAACATGCAGTTATCGACGTCTGCATTTTTTCACTTTCAGGTGAACCCAATATCATCACGACTCCTTCCAGTCCTGTTTCTGCGACAACTGGTAATACAGTCACCCTGGAATGCGCAGCCGCTGGAGACCCCCCTCCGTCGGTTGAGTGGATAAGTCCAGAGAGCTCTCGATCCAGTCTCCAAATAGTAGAAACTAGGATGGGTGTATTAAAACTCACCATCGAAGACGTAAGATTGGAAGACCAGGGAAATTACACCTGCCAGGCGACAAACATCGTGGGAATTAGAAGAGAAAGTCTCCAGTTGCTAGGTAAATATCTAACGTAGGTGTGGATGGTTTATTCTTTACAGGCTACAAATTTCTTACAATGCATAAAAATTTTCAAACTACGTTTCTATTTAGTTACTGTGGCCAACGAACCTCCAGAAGTTGTCGTGGAAACTTTGTACGAATCAGTTATCGAGGGTTACAAGATTGTGCTCCGCTGTAACTCGTCGGGTGTACCAACGCCAAGTATCACTTGGGAAAGAGTAGGCTCTAATTTACCCAGTGGTGCCTTGAATAGAAATGGAAATCTGACCATCCCATCTGTTGCCAGACGAGATGCTGGAATATATGCATGTAAGGCTGTGAATGTTGAAGGAGAAGACGTCGTTAACGTTCAGTTGGAGGTGATAGGTAAGCAGATTCCATTCAACCTTAAGGGAAAAAAAGATCATCTACCAGATTTAAAGGAATATTTACTTAAAATATTTTTTTAACTTTATTCTCGCGTCGGCGGAGATAAATAATTGCTTGGGCACTGACTAAGGATTAATCTATCCCCATCGATAGTTTCATCTACTATAACGTCTAAGGAGAAAGCAGAGACAGCTTCCTGGATACACGAGAATCCCAACAGACACGCAAGGATGTAACTCAGCTCAACTACTAATAATTTAGAAGTCAAACCCAATTTCTCAAATCCCAGTTAATTCGCCTAGACGTGGGGGTTGCTCCTCTAGTTATGTGACAAACTTAGCACTACCTTTTCTTTTCAACCGATTGCAGCCCCACCTCAAGTAGAAGTGACACCTTCCCAGAGAGCGGTAATTCAAGGAGATTCTCTGAGCTTGTTTTGCGTTGCCACACCATTAATTCCGGTTATATGGTCAAAAATAAACGGAAGTATAACTGGCGAAAGTGAAGTAGACAAGGGAAAACTGACCATTAAGAATGCGAGTGTGGAACACGCAGGGAAGTACCGTTGTCAAGCCTTCAATGCTGCAGGTTCCGATGAAGATTTTGCAATCGTAACAGTAGTCGGTGAGATACCATTTTGGTTCTCTGTTTTAGGAATATTACTTCACGGTTATGGTTTTCCAGATCAAATATTCACCCGTCTTTTTTCTTGACTTTTTTGAGGCAGATCGATTTCATCTGTTCCGATGTTCACAGAGATGATGAATTAATCTTTTGAGAAGAAATATTCTTCCATAAATTTCCAGATACTGGAGCGAAAACGAAAGAGTGATAATAAATATTATTAATAATAGCGCAGGTAAATTTGAGAAGCAAAATCGAAAATATTCTTTTTTCTTTTCAGAATTGTAGAAAAGGTGATGTCAAAGCGCCCTGAAACGGCATGTAATCTGGGTTCTTGAGGCTCCTGGATATCGTTCTAGGCAAAACACTCATTAACCATTAAAGCAGTGTAATATAAAGCAAACAGAGAGTTTTCCATTGAGTTCGCTACATCAGTGGGTGGCAATGTAATGGCGCCCGGGAACTTTAAGAGAGTTCACTCTCTATGGATTTTCCATTATCAAACTTTTAAAAGAGGGTTTAAAAGTAGAGAACTTAAAACAATATAAATTCAAATCCATTTAATGACTGAGTGCAAGATTCATACATTCTCTTATAGCTTTTTTACATTCTTCCTAGTTCGACCAACAGTAACTGTCTCGACAGAGTCCATGGTAGCCTCACCGAATTCCAATGTTACTTTCCGATGCGACGCTTCTGGTATACCAGAACCTGTGATCACGTGGACAAAAGAAGGCATGAGTCTTCCACGGAGACACTCATCTTTGCGTAATAAGTTGACGCTGACTCGTATTGTGAGTTCAGATGAAGGTCGCTATATTTGTACAGCTACCAATGCCGCAGGGTATTCACAAAAAGTTGTATATCTCTCAGTTGAAGGTTTGTACGCGTCGTTTGGTGTCAATTTAAAAACTACTCTTGCTGAATTGGGAATTATGAAGCCCTTATTTCACCTCAGATCCCATATTGCCCCATAGTATGGCACCACTACCGCTCTTCCGATGACAGAAAAGTGGAGAGGCTGCAAGAGCGGGCATAAGAGGCCATTTGCTGTGATCCGAGTAGCTCGTACGAAGAACTATATAGAAAGCTAATTTTTTATCTTTGCTTGACCGCAGACTCCAAGACATTGCCTTATCAATGTTTAACGCCAAAAATAACTTAGTTCCAACATATTTAGCAAACCTATTAAGTTATAATATGGGCACGTATAACTCCAGGAATCAAGACGACTTTCTCTTGCCAAGATACAACGCCATTACGTTTAGGAGACACTTTTTTAAGATATAAGGGCTTGGTATAAGCTCCCAAAGTCGACTAAAATGACTGAGACCTCAGGGACCGGTTATCTACCCAAGGTCTAACTCAAACTACGGTTTTGCGTAATCAGTGGGCCTCAGACTTTCTTTCTAAGAGCGTTGACTTAGGGAAATAAATTTCCTTCCAGTGTTAGCTTTCAGCCCTCTTGACACAATTCACAAAAGTAAATGTTCAGATAAAAGGTCCAGCTATATTGAGGATGTTTAGGACTCGCTTTTTTTAAACAATGGCTGAACTTTGTTTTGATGACCGGCCCTGAATGTTTTTAAAGTGAGAAAGCTAGACCTCACAATCATTTTCAGAATTAAATATAAGGATTCTTATCTATGTAATAATTAGTTCTTACTTCACATTTTTCTTTGAAAATTCATATTGAAATTGTGTGCAGAGATAATTAGTAGATCCTGTTAATGGCCGGGAGAGTCTTTTGTCTATTGATAGTTGTATTTTTACAATGACTCTAGATAGGTGTCCTCGGTTATTTTCCGTAATGAAACCAGAACGTAAGATATGTTAATAAAGTTATTATTATTATTATTATTATTATTGTTATGTTTATTATTACGTTAATTTCTTCAAATGACAGCTGCTTCAGGATTTGTATGTTATCGTTTCAAACGCTTTCAGGTCTAAAAGACTGCAGTGACACACAAATGAATTCGAAACCTTGTTAATTTATAGATTTCCCCACTGGAACTATAACGGGTGGATCCTCTGTAACAACTGTAGCTGTCGGTGGTTCCCTTACTCTCGAGTGTCAAGGAACAGGAATCCCAGAACCGGAGATCATGTGGTCACGTGTTGACGGTCCTTTGCCCAATGGAGTAACTACAGATGGTGGACTTCTTAATATTGTAAACGCTCAACTTCACCATGGAGGACCCTATGTTTGTAATGTCACCAACAAAGTAGGCTCTGTGCAATCCGAAATTGTTGTTTTAGTACAAGGTTCGTATATTTTATTGAAATATATCACGCTATTATTATGCAGCAACAGAAACCGCAGCAAAAATGACATCATTGATTTGTTTTCTCTGAGATTTACTGCATAGTGGTAACACCACCATCAACTATTCTGATAATTATGAGGTTTTTAAAACAGTTGACTCAAAAGATGAATGTTTAGGCGACCATCAAAAATTTAGTATCAGGGATCTAAAAATGAGCGCAGACCACTCGTTATTGCCAAAGAATATCGCGCAAGAATACACAAGGTTGCAAACATCCATTCCCAGCTGCACATCACATTTGAATTTACCTTTCAGAGGCACCTAAAGTGACGGTTACGCCCCAAAAATCACGGGTAAAGCTTGGGGAGACAGGGGAATTTACTTGCATTGCCAGTGGCTCACCATTACCCAAGCTAACATGGCGAAAATTGAATGGTTCAGTTCCGATTTATGCCACAGTAAGTGATGGAGTACTTAGAATTCCTAATGTAACCCACCAAGATGCTGGGATATATTTCTGTGACGCTTCCAATGTCGAAGGATCAGCACAAGGAAATACAACTCTTGAGATAAAAGGTATTACTTGAAAACAAGTAATGGTGTTCTCAAGTTTTTATTTGTTTGTTTTTGTACTGAACAAAGTAGATATAGAGTCAATTTAAAACTAGCAAAGTATCACTCCGGACAGATACTGGTCAACAACTCGTAAAACTCGAAGATTTCATTAAGGTTTAAAAAAAAAGTAATGGATTTCAGTCCTCGAATAATTGGCTTGTCGCAAAAGATTTCTACTGACGGGCTGTATTCTTCGTCCGTAGTGACCGTGCCCCGTTTTACTCAGAGGCCACTATCATACCTCAGCGTACCAACATTAACTAAAGAGCCGCTTCATTTTACGGTGGAGATTGTGTTTACACCAGAGATGGCAGACGGCCTCATATTTTACAACGATCAGTTTACCAACGATTCTGTAGGAGACTTTATATCATTTGGAATGTCGAATGGATTTGCTGAGTTTAGGTTAGTGGCAATTACACGGTTCTGTAGTGATTTTCGATTGCGTGTCGTTGGCACCAAAAAAAAGTTATCAAAGGGGCCCATCGGAAGGAAGAATCGGTAAGAACTGAACTGAAAGGAACTGAGGTGAACGGTCCCTTTGCCGGTGGCGCGAATTTTCTCCACCAATCATATACTGCAGTATCGCTAAAACAGTTCAATCCCAAATCATGTTTGGCACATTGCTATCGAGACGTTTGACTGGATATAGCGCCCATCCATCTCCTGTCTTGACTCCTGTCTAACACATTTTTCTTGCAATCAAATTTTCTCTTACCGGTAGGTTCAACCTTGGCTTCGAGCCTGCCATCATAAGAAGCCACCAACCTCTGCGTCTTTACGAGTGGCATTCAGTCATTCTATCACGTAACGGGAAGGTTGGAAATCTGACTGTTGATAGCAAGTCACCTGTTACAGGAATTTCCAAGGGAGGTAGTACAGGACTGAACTTAAACCAAGATTTATACATCGGGGGAGTCCCTGATTTTTTGTCGATAAGTACGCTGGCAGGCTTCAAGTCTGGGTTCATTGGCTGTTTAAGCTACTTGATGGTTGATGGAAACGTTGTAAATCTTGGTGAGCGAGTAAAGTTCATTCGCTATTTAATTCTCCTTCTGTCTGTCAAGCAACTTAGTCTCCAAAATTGCCTTAAACGAAAGGAAATGGCACACAGTGTCTTCCCACCTCACAGAAAAGTGTGCTGTTTTTTATTTGGTTTGTGTTTTTTCTTCATCGATTTTTCAGGGAAATTGGTAATGTAAAATAAACTTTGAGATATGTCCAGAAATGATTGAAGTAACCACGATGGCGAAAATTCGTCCATCCCGCCAAGCTGATTTCGCTTTGACGAATTTGACAAAAATTCGCCAAAATCGTCAATTCCATGAACATTTACTCGGTTTGACAAAGTTTCGTCAAATTTGCCATTTTCGTTACTACGTGCATTTCTGGACACAAGTGAAGATAAGGTTGTTTATCCCCTTTTAAACTGATTTCTCGGTAGGATATCAAAAAAATTTTAATCTAATCCTACAGATTAAGGAGTAACATGAAATTCTGTTTCATAAAAAAACCTGTTCTTAATTGTACTTATGGACTTCATCACTCGCTTTCATTTTTTTCAATATGTTTGCAAACGGAGTTCATTGATGTGTACTTGTACTGTTTGATGTAACCGATCAACCTTAAATGTCATTTTCATAGGAGATCCCATTGACCATATGGGCTTGGAAGATTGTAACGTTTGCGAGACAAGGCCTTGCAACAACGGTGGCACATGTGAAGAGGTTCCGGGAGCCTGGGGCTTTGTCTGCAGTTGTAGGCCCGGCTATTCAGGAAGAACTTGTCAAGATGCTGGACAGCAGTGTTCTCCCGGAGTTTGCAATGAAGGCCGTTGTGAGAATATCGGCGACGAAGGTTTTAAGTGTATATGTCCAGCAGGTTACTCAGGGGAGAGATGCGAGGAAGGTTTGTTGGTGCTTAGAAATTGTAAAACGGGGTAATCCATGACATAAAATAACTTCTTATACCGAGCGGTATTCCTAACCGTGGTAGCACAAATGCGTGGAACAGGAAGCTCTATTTGATATTCCTGTTTCCAACGAACGCTTGTTCTTGATCCCCACCACTTTATTTTTCGAGGATTATTGTGTTATATTCTGTAGCTCAACCTTTAGTATCGTTAGATATCACCTTTTGGTGCGAAAGGGTAAAAAGATATTTCCAGTGTCCCCAATAATTGTCGACCCTATGAAGTTATATTGCATCGAGTGCTCTTTAATGAGACCCTTTTCACCACTGGTACTAGTCAGCTATTTCTGACCACGTGTACGCACCCTCGCCTTTTAACTCTTATAAAAACTTTGAACAGTAACATAACGTCTGAAATGAAAGAAAAGCCTAACATGCTGAAAGGATTGATTGATTTCAAAGTATGGCTTGTTATTCTCCTTATGAAGTTTATCTTTTTTCACTTTTTGCAGGAGCTCTCATAGAGACGCCTATGTTCGATGGGCATTCCTTTATGTCATTTCCGGGAATCGAAGGCGCTCTCCAACAATTAAAACTTGTAATCAGATTCATGATTCATAAATCAGGAAACATGCTTCTGTTATACAATGGTCAGAGGCAGTTCCCTCAGCGTGGAGACTTCATTTCTTTGGCCATTATTGGTGGAAAAGTTGAGTTTAGGTTTGATTTGGGAAGTGGTCCTGGAATTGTGCGAAGCGCAAGAAATATTACTGTTGGACAATGGCACACAGTTCACCTGGAACGTACGCTGGATGAAGGCTCGCTAACACTTGACAACGATCCACCTGTAACAGACGACTCCCCATGCTGCACAAAGGGGTTGAATCTTGCATTAAACTTATTCATAGGAGGCGTCGAGAACTTCGCAGTGATAGACACACGTAAAGTTGGCGTCGGCTCCGGACTAGTTGGTTGTATATCTGCCATGTCTGTAGATGGCAGAGAGATAAACTTGATAAAGTCAAACCTTGAACTGCGTAATATCACGCAGTGTACAGAATGTTTTTTACCCTGTGAAATAGAACCCTGTCTAAACAATGCCACGTGTCTACCAATTGGTAAGATTAGTTACAGTTGTTCGTGTGCTCAGGGGTACACTGGACGACACTGCGAGGTTCCTTTGGTTGGACCACTGAGGAACAATACTTGTCTCAATAACGGTGTACTCCTATCCACCTCGGATAGCATATGTTCCTGTCCGTTAGGCTTTAGAGGAGATAGATGCGAGAATGGTAAGCGTTTATTAAGAGGCAGCGCTAATTTGCTTTGGACGACACTAGTCCGTGAAGAAAAGTGTCCACATAAATATTTTCACCAACCTTTTGTTACAGAACACATATGAGGCCACCGCCTCAGTTATCGGAACCACTTTGCCATTATGTCTTCACTCATATACAGCATTTTGGACTAACCACAATTTCCATCCATATGTTTACATTTCGCATTTACATGATAATATAATTTTAGTAAACTTATTTTCTCAATCTTCTTTTTTCATGTGCGTCGTCTTAGTCATTAAGCATGAAGCAATTTGTGTTCCATTGTAGTTGTTCAACTCGGTGACAGTGCAGCCTTTAACGGAAATGGCTACTTACAGTTTCCAAGCTCTACGATGCGAGGACCTAGGTAAGACTTGGAATTTTCCTTTCCTTAGTGTGCATTTCCAAGAGGTTAAAACGAGAACTTTTGTGCTGTTTGAAGAAGGAATTGTTCGACTTTTTTTCGTTATTTATAGGGTAGTAAAACCAGATTACATGTCATTAGAGATAAAAACCAACGCCGAGAATGGAGTCATCATATGGCAAGGCCAGGTTAGTGTTGATTATTTTTATTCAAGAAAAATAGCTCTCACAGATATCACGAAAGGTAACAAATCTTTCCCATTCTAAAAGGACACTAAACCGGTTAATTTTCCATCTTTCTCATAGAGAGGAGATCACTTCGCAATTGGCTTAAGAGAAGGTCGCTTGGAGTTCAGGTCAGTCTAGCTTGTGCCTTTCTTTCACTCTGTGAACATGAAAGTATGAATGATGGGAAAGCAAAGTACGTTGTGAGAACTTAAATCTCGAGATTGGTACTTAATGTTTTCACTTGTACAGTTAAAGGTGGCTACTAATGCTTTATTTTTCTAATCAGATTCGAGCTTGGCTCTGGCCCTGCTATTCTCAGATCCTCGTTACCAGTCAACGACGGGGAGTGGCACTCAATCGAGGTTTTCAGGTAAGGAAGCCTGCGCATCGGATTAATTATAGCTATACAGGAGGAAGTGTGTCCTTTCCTCGTAAAGTCGTTGGCTGAGGGTTAGCAGTAGGATCACTCGAGTCCTAGACTGACGCACAAGCATAAGGCCGCTTCGAACCCTTCTGTAAGGGGAAAAGGGGCTGATTTCTCTTCTTGCACGGTTTTTAGGAGTTACATGGAGGGCTCCTTAATAGTGGATGATCAAGAACCTGTCAATGGTACATCTGTCGTAGGAAGTAGGGGACTGAATATCCAGGGGTCTATATTAGTAGGTGAGTAGCTTTATTAAGAAGAGTTGACTTGACCATCAGGGAAGTAGTTCTAGTTTTAAAGAGAGCCCAAGCAGACTGTCGACCGCACTAGGCATCCCACATTTGTTGTACTCCACAAAACCTTCGGTGGCTTCATTAATTTCAAGAAGTGCAGAAAGACAAGAGGTCATAAAAGGCGATCATCAGTCTCGTTGAGAAGATTTACCAAGATATTCACGAAATAAAAGAGGGAAAAGGGCAAAAGCGGGATCTTACGCTAGGGTCTGAATTTCATGTGGGGTAATGTCACGTTCTTTTGTAATTATCAATTCTTACTTTTCCGACCAAAAGGGGTCACATGTACTCTCAAGAGAAGGTCATAAAAGGCGATCACGAGTCTCGTTGAGAAGATTTACCAAGATATTTGCGAAATAAAAGAGGAAAAAGGGCGAAAGTGGGATCTTACGCTAAAGTCTGAATTTCATGTGGGGTAATGTCACGTTCTTTTGTAATTATCAATTCTTACTTTTCCGACGAAAAGGGGTCACATGTACTCTCAGACCCTCAATTAAGAAGAGTAGAACTAGTGTTTTTCTTATCACTACTTCATTTGAAACATCTTATGACAGGAGGAGGTGAAAACATCGCGGAAATGACTTTCAACAAATACGATACCGGCTTCCTAGGCTGTCTAAGGAACGTTTACTTCAAGACCAGGAAAATTAAACTTCAAGCTGACGCTTCTGGCGGCTGGAACGTTATTCCTTGTGATGGCTAGCTCTCTAAGATCTAATATGATACGACTAACATCGCATATTACAGAAATTCTTTGAACTAAGCCGCTGTTGGGTTGTTTTTCATTCTGGAAGATGGATGGTGAACTTCAACGCTTTTTTCGCGTTTCAGTTTGTCCAGCCATGCAAGCTTTATGAGCGATGCCTAACATGTCAAATTATTCACTGCTAACTTAACAATGTTTTAGACCAGGCGTTTGAACTGAGGAAAATCGTGTCATCTTCTGAACTTTCCTCGATCCATTTGGAGAATATGAAGTGTTGATGGAAGTCCTTGGTGGGATGAACACACTGGCTGAAGGCACAGTTCATTATTTGTCTTGCTGATTATACACGTTTGCCTCTACGCTTCAGCCAGAAGTTGATTCGTTTTCTGAAGAGGGGTCGTGGTTTGCTAGATCCACTGATGGAGAGTTCTGTGAACAAACTTTTTAACGAGTTCCTCCTGAATTTTCTATAAATAACTTAACTTTAAGAGTCTATCTATATATTCATATAGAAAGCTTGATATGAACAAATTATTTGCCCTCTTTTTCTTCAACCACAATATATCACAAGATTTGCAACCTACCTGTTGGGGCGCTGCGTGACACAGTCGTGATCTAGCAATAACTGAAAACCGCGGTTTTGTGAGCTCGTGAGGGGATTTGGACAGATACACTTAACTTATACATGTCGAGGGTACGTTGTAGGTATCTGGACGATACGTACAGTCGTTTTTATAAATCGCTTGCCAGTTTATTCATGTATGTCTTAAATACTGGATTCCAGGAATTCTTCTTGTATATTATAGACCTCGTTTCAACGACTTTTAAAAATGCAGGTAATGTCCTCGGGCACTCAAAGTTTTTCAACCTATAACTAAAAAAAAAACATTATTGTTCTCGGATAATTTTATTTTTGTAGCTCGAAGTATAAAAGTCTTGTTTTGCAAAGGTTACTGATGGAACGTGTCTCCAAGATTTCCGCTGAATACTTGTCTTGGGTTTTTCATGCCGATTATAAGCTGGGCACATTATATATCACTACGCGAATATGTTTTTTTAAACGATTTATTTACAAGGAAATATCCTTCTCCACTTGTACCTTTTAAGTTTTCAACACTGAGGTCTCCCAATCAACTTTTGCTTTTCTATTGTCTCCACAAAAAAGACATATTGTCTATATATACCTTCGAAAGCAGCAGATTTAAAAATAATAAAAAAATAAAGCCTTTATTTGAGAAAAAACAAGTAAAGGAGCAAAGGAGTAGAATTGAAGTCAATGTTTCAGCAACTTAATGAAAAGAAGATTATTCCTATCAGAAATGAGTAAAGAATGTATGGCTCTTCCATCCCACTCACACTTGCCCTATCAACTTGCACGCTGTTGTTTAGAGGATTATAAGAAGAAATAGCTTTTAAGCTATAAAAGATTAAAAGCTTTCGTTTAAAAGTGTAAAAGAAATTCACACTTTCAGTGTCGATCGGCAATTTGTTCTAAGCGAGGAACAACATTCAATTTAATCCCAATAAGTTTTGAGATATGACGTCATTGTATATGGGTTACTTCTCAGTAGCTAGTATCTGATTTACGTAGAGCTACTTTGGAATAAGGCTGAAGAGGACGCGGCCATGCAGAAAAAGTTCAACGGTCAAGAAAAACTTCAAATTCAAGAGGAGCTGGCTTCATTACGGGAAGAAGTTTAGAGTATTTGGGGGGTGTCTGAAAGACTCCATGCAGTCTTCTAGTGAAATGAAGGAATGGTAGATAAAGAATAACGGGTTACGCGATTTTTATAAATTTGGACCTCGAGAGAGGCAAACGACAAAAAGGGCAAATAAAGGTACTCCCATTTGCCTTCTAATCGTTTCAAGAGAAGCAGTCCATGTACCCGGTGCTAGTCGATGTAACAAGTCAATCACCTCTAAAAATGGGAGAACACATCCTTCATGGCGAGGACTCAACACCTGACGCGGCCTAATGCAAATTCTAATCGTAACGAGTAGTAACTTGTTGATTAGAAAAAGAATAAAACACGAAAACAAAGGAGCAATGGGGATGGAGCAGAGTTCAATTCCAACGCGTGCGGTAATTCCATGCTTGTGGAAGAATGTACTGTTGCCGCCAAAAATTCGTTCGGCGCGTTTCTCATTGCGAATTCGTGCTCTTCTATTGTCACATCTTCATTAGAGCTTTTTGTTCTACGTGCATAATTTTTACTCGCTTAATTTTCCTTTGTGTGTCTCGCTTGTATGAATTTTTCACCGTGGATTTTATTCATTCAGATCTATCGTTTACTGTTTAAGCCGTCTAACTGTTTGAACTGTCTCTGTTCATCGCTTTAAAACGTCTTGAATTTGCCGTTTTCCCCGGATATCGTACAACGTTTGTAAGTGTCTTTTTCTTTCCTTTATTTTTGTTTTCTCGTTTGCAAATCTCTTGCACGTTACCGAATCGATCGTAGACCTTGCCAGTCAAATCGAAAACTCATCCGATGCCACCATCGCTATTTCAGAGCTTGCTTTTGGAAGGGATGGATTCAATAGAGCAGTGAAGAAAGCGAGCAAACATCTAAAAGAGCTACTGCCGTCAGACTGGATGGAAACTTATCCAGCACCAAAAGATCGCAGAGAGTGATTTAGGCAAGGGACGATCAAGGCTTAATTTCAAAGGTGATTAAAACATTTTTAAAAACTTAAAAACAACCTTAGAGTAAAAATACGCGCTCTCCACGAATTTCGTGCCTGCTAAGTGCACCAAATGCAACACAGAATTTCGTATGAAAACTGAAAGGGGTAGAGAGCCGATCTCACTTTTGCCATTTCAAAGTGGTTTTGAATAGGCCTCTTTTAATATCAATGCATTAGTTACTCGTACAGAAGATCTTGGAATTTTTCTGGAACTATACAAAACAGATATATCATTGATTAATGAGACTAAGCTCAATGAGACCGTAAGAGACAATGAGGTCGACATCTTGGGATACGATATAACTCGACGTGACAGAATAACAATGGATGGGGGATAAGTCTAACTTGCGTTCTGAAGCTCCTGCTCTCTGACAACGAACTCGAAGTTTCATACTGCACACAAACTATTATAAAAATGGCTTTAACTACAGTTGCGCTACACATTGGAGTAACGTAGTTTTCCCGTAGATGTTGGATAAGCAGAGTCCCTTGGGCTTTTAAAACGGCTCACCAAACAAGTTCTTAAGCCACAGTATTCGTGGAAAGCAGCTTTTAGTAGGTAAGGACTTTGTGCTTTTTATCTGTGTAAAGCTATGCTTTGTGTGTGACCTGACGCTCCGAATGATCATAAAAGTTACAAGGCCAAGGTTTGAGAGTAGACGTTTTAAGCAGGGATCTAAATCTTTTAGGGAATATAAATCTCCAAAAACACTGATTTACGCTCACTTTCTCGACCCTAAATCAAACTCGATAACCCTGGGAATTGTTTGGGTCCACCATTTGAAACCGGCGAGCAGCCTCACAGGATGCAAGGGGTCTGGGAACAAACTCATGTCACCGGTGCGCTATTGAAGGTTTTGCTCGAGGGGTCGTAGGGAGATCATCAAGAAGAGTTGCCGACTTGCCAAGGGCGATGTATGGTAAGCATAGTAATGTTGGCAGTATCTTTTTGATAACGATCTTGCTGATTTTGCAAAAGGAAAGTGCAAGTAGTTAATTCGAGGATGGGCTACTTTGGTGGAAAAATCAGCATCTTTGCAAAGTATCGGAGGTTTGTTTACGTTTAATGTAAATCTAAATCATTGCCCGTACACCTGTGATCTCGTAAATCTTGTACTGATTAGATTACTTGTTGACTTGGGTAACATTTAAATTGAAATTTTGATGCCGATCGGGTTTAAGCTGGTAATGTCGCGGGGACGACTTCACGCATACAGTACAGTTCAGAGGTAGATAACCAACGCACACGCAAGACCTTTGCACGTTTTCCGAGTTCTGCGCGAAAAAAAAAGAAGCAAAAGCGCGCGTCAAAGTGCATGTGTCGCGCGCGTTTTCGCATTTGTTTTTTTTAATGCAGTCAGCCTGCTTTGTTCTGCATTGCTTCGGAAAACATAAGTTGCCTATTTCAAAATGTCGCCGCTGAAGCAAGCTATCAACGTTTGCATATCTCGACTTCTAAAGGTCGCAATGGCCGTCGTTTCAATGAAACTTTGAAACGATTCGTCGTGATTCCACTAGTATTTCGTAAAAAATGTTTGCGAAAGTCTTTAAGATACGAACTAGATTCACTCCTTTTCGGGATGATGTAAGATTCCAGCCTGAGATCATGACAACCTTATTTCAGAAATTTGAAATCGCTCCAGAAGGATGCGACTCGATCGAGAAGTTGGCTCTATCGACTGGCGCCGGTGTCACAGCGGATTTGGACCCCCCCGCGGATTTGGACCCCCGGTCCATATCTGCTAGCGGATTTGGACCCCCCCGGTCCAAATCCGCTAGCGGATATGGACCCCCCTTCGCAGATTTGGACCCCCCTACCAAACTTTCCTTTTAAGCATCCTTTGTATCATATTTGGTAACTAATTCTATTTGCAAGCTTTTTGTCGATGTTCTTTTCAATCGCAACACAACATTCCTCAATAAAGGTAAAAGAAAAAAACAGTCATTTCGTTCCAATTCTACCGCATTTATTTTAGCCAGTCGTACAGTAAACGTAAGAATCAGATGAGAACAAACTACTGCATTCGAACTATTGAAATTTTTACGATAAATCCTTGCTTCTTCTGATGCGAATCAACATTTATACGAAACGTCATAACAATAGTGGAGACTATTGCATCCAGTCAGAAAAATAACTCAGTCTGATTTTCTAAAATAATAACAATAAACAGTTTCTGAACAAGAACGAAGAAACTACTCCTACTACAAGTCGTTCGTAAAGCCTATGATAAGTAAAAATGTTTCTATTCTGAACTATTGGAACTCTCAGCTTATTTTCAGATGCAAATCAACATTAATCAACATTAATGTCAACGTCTTAACAAAAATGGAGACTATTACATCGAACTCAATCTTATTTTCTAATTTTAATGATTATTAACTGTTGAGGGATCCAAAATAACACCTTGACAATTACGAAGACGTCAGAGTCTGGCGATCTGCAGACAATGCAGAGCCACTCGCCCTCCGGGGTAGTCTTAAATCATGTGAAACCATTCCTCGCACAACTCGCACCGAACCATGTCATCCAAACACTCGGGCATTGAATAATGACAAAATAAATTAGTGTCACAAGTTTGTCTCCTATTGAATCTAGTGGTGTTCGACTATCGCGGAAAAGGTTCAAAAACGACCTCTCTCCAGACATCAAATTAACTCTTGGGCATTTTCCCTTGGTCAAAAGAAACATCCGACGGTATGCCAGTTCGTATGCATTAACGATACGCATGTTTTGAATGAAAAACATACTTTAGTACGCACTGGAACGTAAAGTATCATCCATTTTAACTAGAACGTTGAGGACAATGTTTTCACTCAGTTTTGTTGGGGGTCCAAATCCGCGGAGGGGGTCCAAATCCGCTAGCGTATTTGGACCGGGGGGGTCCATATCCGCTAGCGGATTTGGACCGGGGGGGTCCGTATCCGCTAGCGGATTTGGACCGGGGGGTCCAAATCTAGGGGGGTCCAAATCCGCTGGGACACCGGTACGTCTTGTTTACTTCAATTCGGCACTAAAATATTTCTCACTTTTCGTTAAAATAATACAATTGTTTTCTAAAATCTATTTCAAGTTTTGAGTGTCTTCGGCTTTGTGCTAGGAAAGCTGGGCTTTCATAACCCAGCTTTGAACAACCAGGCAGGCCAGTCTTCTAGTGCTGGAGCCAAACAAAGGCACGGTATGAGACATGTTGTTTCAGACAGAAAGTTTACATTCAGGAAATCAGCTATTCTAGCTATTTTACTGAATTTTCTCCAGACAAGAGAGGTGCAGATGCAGATTGCAAATTGTACTTATACATGCCATTCACTCCATGGGATGAGTGAAAAACCGCACAAGTGTCCAGCTTGGCATGTGATATGGACAAAAATATTGTACCCACAAAGTGGTGGTTATCATTTAAGGTGTTATTGCAACCTAGCACTAATCAGCTCTTCTGAAGAAAATCAAGAAACAGATCCAGTGAGCATATGAACTATCTTTTTGTGATTATTTTCAGTTCCTCTTCACTGTGACTTATTTGATGTGAGGTTCATATTCTTGTCCTCTAGGCACAATAGGAGATGAAGAAGACTGCACTTTCTCCTCGACTGCCTTCTGAGTTGTCTTGGTATCTGCTCTTTCAGATGTTGGTAACAAACTGTCAGAGGTAGAGGACTGACTGATCATTACTGAAATTCATGTGGTGATTGAAAATAATGGTGAGTTTTAAAAGGGGAAAGAAATACAAAACATCCACAGAGTTCTCCTCACAATGTTATAGTTTCATGTGAGACAATACTGTGACTTAAGGATGCAACAACAACAAAAACTGAAATAATTACTCTTGCTGTGGCAGATTGAGTATTGCCGTCATCAAGATAAGTCATCTGTATTAAACTATTGAATGGCAGAGTTAACCAATTCTTTTGCAACCAAGCAAGAGGAAGAAAGTCATTATGTTCTTTGGGAACTGTGTTAACACATCTCTACTTATAGCCTCAATGACAATGATATTCAACTTCCATGTAGATTACACAGATGCTGTGTAATAATGAATATTAGAAATGGGAGGGGAAATTATTTGTGGAAAGGTATTATTTTAATGATGAGAATGCAAGGGCATACCTTCAGATAGACAACACATTATGTCCAGTCATCACGAGTACAATCAAAAATTGTGTTCAGAGCTTGGGTCATTTCATTAATCAAGGGGTCCTTTGTTATCAGAAAACAATGACTTGATCAAGCTGAAACTCTGGCCAAAAAAAAGAAACCGTCATGAGCTGGAAGCAAAATGTACTTCCCAGGAAAGTGAAATTGTAAGTACCAGTAATAATTAATGTAGAAGATTCATATAAAATTATTTTCATTTATGATAAACATGTGTGCTGTGAAATGCAATGAAGACGGGTAGAGATATTTATTTAATCAGAATCTTTAATTTTTCTTGGTTGGTTTCAAATGACTGGAAAAGTCCATCACAACTTCAGTAGCTGGTAAGCAAACTTGGATTTGGCCAATGAAAAAGTTTATGTGGCAAAGAGGTCAAAGGAGTTGATTTCCTTGGACCAGCCAAATGAAATGAAACAAATGGCTTCATTCTTAATGCTTTGATATAAAAGAAAGCATGATATGCTTATTTGCTTGTTTGGAAGTGCGTAAGAAAGCAAAATGATTGTGGAATTATTCAACTATTGATTTCAAGACTGGTGGATGCATCTCGCTGATAGTGTTCCTTTAATTAACTAGGGTATAAACCTGTTTGCATGTTGGGTGCTATTTGACTTAGAAAAGTCTCAGAGTTACAGTACTGCTCAAAGGTAAGTTGACAGCCCCTCAAACCTTGATCTTCAATACTCAATAACTTTAACCCCTTGACTGCTGGTACCATTTGTAACCAGTGTGCTATGCCATTTTTGCTGAAAACAGGCGTCTTCAAAAAAACTTCAAATAAACTGAAAATTACTTCTTTAAGCTGTATAAACCTATACATTTTCTGAAAGGTCTTTAAAATGTCTAAAATTTCTAGATTTTCCCCCTACATTATATACCAAAATCTCTACTGCATGTTTTAGTGTTATGTCATTTTTTCTAAGTGTTGGCTTAATACACAAAGTTTGTGTGGTAAATTCTGAAGCATGGGTAGTAACAGAGGCCTGGTGTGCTGGGGCAGCTTGGGCAGTAGTAGCAGGTTTCCTTTCTGATATTCTTCTTTTAGCAGACTTTGCATCTCTTCTGTGCTTTCTGTTTGCTGTCTGTTGGTGGAATTTGCTCAACAAAGTGCCTCTCTGTAAGTCTGACAACATTTTCCTCTCTTGGAATATCATGATGGGCCTCATTGTCCTGACCAAATACAAGGACAGAAATGACATCATGCTGAAATTCCAAAAAACCATTTGACCCCCATCTTTCTTGAAAAGCAGGAAACTGTTTAGCATTGCAAGCTGCAGGAAGTGGATTGCTAACTTTTTATACCACTTTAGAGACTTTCTTGCAATTTCATATGGCTGCAGCAACTGATCTGTGCGATCCACTCCCCCATATACTTGTTGTAATCTGAAATGCATTTTGGTTTTTGGTGGGCTGCATTTCTTCTCCCTCGAACCATTTCTTTGTTGTGGTTTCATGTTGTCCTGTTTTTTTATTGGAGAGGAAGAGAAGGGCAAAGGGAGCTCAAAAGATTGAGTTTTAAATTTGAAGCAGATGCCTCTGGAAGAAGGTTTGTCACAATGGCACATGATGAGGTAACTAAAAATCATCCAGGAGGTGTGAGCAATATCCCAAGCAATGAAAAATTGGCACAGATGTACGAAACCTGATGAAAACAATGGTTACAAAGCCATGAAGCTATATATCTCGAAGTTGAATCCTAAAAGCAATGCATTTTCTCAATATCTGAAGAAGCAGTGGAATTATGATGATGAAGTTTTGTATGATGCTCGACTGATCGGTATCAACAAGCTCGACAACACAATGAAAAGCATCAGTGAGGCTGCAAAACTGTTGAAAATGCACATAAACTGCAGCGTTGGGGCCACTGTGATCACCTTGTGGTCAAATGCTGGAATCCAAAATTGCCATATTTTGGCAATGTCAGGTCGCTGTAGTGAGCAGACTCTGGTGCACTACAACACGTGGCCTTCCACTTCATGACTACAACACTGCAGTGAAGTTTTGTCAAGAAGTCTGACAGGCAAAAGCTCTTATTCTTCTGGCACCATCAATAACACCTGCACTCAAATTCAAAAAAAGATCGAGATGTCAGTGGCAACAACATCATGGCTCACTCTTCAACAGCTGCAGCTACGGGAATTGACTTGACTCTAGCATATTTTTCAGCTTAAATGTTACCAAATATCTATACCATAAAAGTATGGTTGAAATACTCTTTGGCGTCAATACAGAGAAAATGATTAGGAACCTTGTGATGCCTTCCTAGATTTGTTTGTAAGTCGAACTTTCTGTCACATGAAGCTGGGATGTAGCCTGTTGTAAGTTAGCCAATAAATATATATATATATATATATATATATATATATATATATATGAATATATATAAATGTTATAAAACAATTGGTTAATACATCAGCTGTGCATTCATCAAGATATGAAGCACTTGGGAAGTTTGGAGAACACTCAAGAAGCTAGAGTTGCTTGAGGCCATACCTCAAGCAACTCTTATGCATATATCATGTAATAATTATAAATGTAACACATTCTCTATTCAATATCATCAACACTAAGACAGGGCTTAGCTAAGGCTTGAATCTTGTGTGATATGAAAATGATAATATTAATAATAATAATAATTATTATTATTGTTATAATTTATTGTCTTATATTGCACAATTATCAATTTTCAATTGCATATTACAATGTTAAAACGCAACTATATCTACATATGAAACCTAAAAATAAAAATGTTGACTGAGAAGATGTAGAAACATAAAAATTACATACAAAGAATTAGAAAGCTTTTGCAAGTAAAAAAGTATTGGTAGCATTCTTAAACCTGTTTAAAGATTTGATAATTCTGATAGAACATGGAAGATCATTCCACAATTTAATTTAAAACGCTGCAGAACTAGTCGTAGTGATTGATCAACCATAGAAATATTTGCATGTCTGCGAGCTGTCTGTGTGTTTAAAGAAGAGCTGCGTGTCGAGCCCTTTGTCTTGAGCAGTTGTTCTGTTTGCAATATTTAACTCATTTTCTTGATACTGCAGTTTGAGATCCTCACAAAGTTTTTTGAGTGTCTCAATCCTTGATTCTCAATCCTCCATATTCAATACTCAATACTTGAGCCTTGATTCTTGATAGTTTTGAGTATTGAGGAGTGATTATGGAGTAGAGACTGGACTGTCAACTTATCTTTGACCAGTACAGTAGTGCTCCTAAAGTATGAAATAAAGGAGTAGGATATATCTTTCTCAAAATCAATATTTGCATGTATATGTACAATCTAAAGGAACATGTTTTGGTTTACATTGAGGTTTCCTGTTGTTGGTGCCAGAAGTAGTTGGCTTATCTTTCACAGTTGGCTTAACTGTGGTTGAATTCTTAGTTGAAGGTAGATTTGGTAGATTTAATGGATTTATTAAGCATACAAATTCACATTGTGGCCAGTAAGCTGAACTGCATAATATTTTCAATAAGTTTTAGAAAAAGTTTACTGATATGCATGGTCCTTGAAAACTTCTATAGACAATAAAATTTAAACTATAAAATGTGTTAATTAGTATCTAATTTACTTGAGACTCTTTTTTGTGTCAGGAGACAAAATCTGTGTTGCTTTGCTGGATCTTTACATTGCAGGTTAGACAGAGTGGTGTAAGAGAGTGAGGATGTTCTTTTTCATGGTGTAAACATCTACATTAACCTCTCTGTCTGATGGATTTGGGGATGACAGAGTGTTGTGTGTAATGGCCAGGCCATAGTATCTTTGAATCTAGTTTACTTGTTTGTCTGAGAGGTCAGACTGCACCCACCAACTGTTTTTTTTTCATGTGAAAAACAGTTCCTTCAAGATAATCACTGTACATTATAAACCATGAACAGTAATAGAGCAGAAGGCAAATGATAAAGTATAAATAAAGCAAGTTAAAGTATAAAAGTAGCCAATAAGTATTTTTGTAATGCAATTCAGAAATATTCAAAATCAGTTCCATCTGCTTAATTAACTATTCTATCTGTTGTTCCTGTTGAATCCTCAATGAATTTTTGATTGTTGAGGTGATCTGAATAACCAGGTGTTCAAGTTGTGTTACAAACAACCATGCAAACACTCCAGGGAAGTGAATCTTGAACTGGGTGCCATTCCTTACACTTAACTTCTTCATATAACCATGTGTAAAATTCCCCACTTGTAGTTGAGATTGGGTAAGGAAATGTGATTTAAATTGACATACCAATGCTTCATTTACAATTCTCTCATTCATTGATTGATTTCTTAGCACTCTGGTAGTTAACATGCCAAAAGTTTGTGAGCTATGCAAGAACTTGAATCGAGTTCTTGTATAACCAAGGCCTCCATCCAGCTGGAATATTTTACCCTTTCACCACCAGGCATTTTGGGTAGAAAGTGCCCAGAACACCAGGGCATTTTGGGAATTGAACCCTAAATTGACAGGTTGTCTTCAAATTAATTTTAGACCCAGAAGGAGACATTTTTAAAAAAAGGAAATCCCACATTCTTGATCTGTGATCAATTCTCAATCATTTTAAGGTAACTCCAATTCTTGAACTTAGAGATTAATTTGAAGTTGCAAAATTGCAAAACATCTGATTATTACAGCATTTCTTCTTGTAGGTTTGCTTGATGCTCTTGTATAAATCACACCAATGCAAGGTGTCAATAAAGAAAGACTTATCGGTTATAATAGAATGTCAGTAAACTGACTTGTTGACTTCATTGATGTCACTAAATACAAAGTGAAAAACATTTTAAGTGCCTATCACATGAAAAATTTTTTTACACAAATATTTAGTTTATCACATGTACAAACCAATTCCAATAGAGGAAAAATTTTAAAAGACTTAAAACTTGGTTTTTTGACTAAGGGCTGATCTGCACTAGCAGACAAAATTATAATTTATTCAATTCTGTTGCATGCCAAAACATTGACTTCATCTGGTGGGATAATGGAGTGCATTAAAATTTTGTTTCTTGTCATGTTCCTCTTTCTTGTAATTATTGCTCAGATGGCAGACGAAATACTCCTTATGGTGTACCTGTTGTTGAGGCATCAATATCTTCGAAATCAAGTGGCCCTCTTAATGATTGAATACTGTAGATGACAGAGGCAGAGGCACGTCGACACAACCCATACTTTTGGAAACTTCTGGTTGTAACTCATAAAAATACAAGATTGCATGGCTGTGTTGCTCCAGAAAAAATTCTCATGCTTGGTTTGTACCGTCTTGCTCATGGCAACTTGTATGGAAGTATTGAGCCAGTTTTCAGTGTTGGAAGGTTGACTGTTCTAGAAGCAGTGCGAGTAGTTGTGGAAGCCCCTTTCAATCTCAGGAATGATTGCACAAAGTTTCCTATGCAGAAACATAGCATTGTATAGAGACATTTCAAGATGTTTCTGATCTCCCGAACTTTGTTGGTGCAATTGATGGATCCCATATCAGAATAGCTACTCCTCCATACACTGCTGTGGACAATTTCACTTGCTACCAACAACACAACTTCATTGTTCAAGCTATTGTCGATGGCAAGAAACACTTCCTTGACTTTGCATCTGGCTCTCCAGGCAGTATGCATGATGCGAGAGTTCTACGAAATAGTACAATATTTGATCTTGCAGAGCACAATCAGATTCTGATGGGTCCTTCTATGCAAATTGGGGGTAATGATATCAAACCCAATCTAATTGGAGACAGTGCATACCCTCTTGCCTCTTGGCTTCAAAAACCATTTCCTGAAGCAATGAGAGATCCAGAGGAAATAGCTTTTGATAAAGCTTTGTCTGGTGCCAGGGTTGCAGTAGAGTGCACTTTTGGGATGCTAAAAAATTGTTGGCGTATACTGGGGAAATGGCTGGAAAGTAAGATTTCATTTGCCAACAAAATCACTGTTGCTTGTGCAGTCCTTCACAACTTTTGTCTGCTGAATCAAGACGAATGGAATGATGATGAAATCATGACCCTCGAGATCAAGGACATGAAAGCAACAAGGATGTTACAAGGGATGGGGATGACGTTTAAAGTGTGTTAAGAGAGTAC